GTTTTCTTAACAAAAGTATCGTTATTTACTGGTGTCCAAACTATGATTAATATCTTTTTAAATATCCACGTTACCAGTGGCGGATCTAGATTTTTTCCAGAAGGGTGTTACCATTCAATATTTACAATTCAATTCAAATTAGTTTATTATAGTGTCACATGCAAAAGGTACAAGTATTACAATCTCTAAAATAATATGTCTGCTCACCCACCCTTACATCCAGTCTATATTACACTTACGAGACACTCACTCTTCCCCTATCATTCTAGACTTTAATAGTATTACATATATGTACATAATTATGAATAAAAAAAAATTGCCAATATTAAAATATAAAAATAATTGACATTAAAAGACATATTACTGCTTAATTATAGAGCAGTGTATTTTGCGACACATGTGGTCTGACCCCTGTCGTGTTGCACACGATTAACTAAGGTACCTGTCCTGTCCTGTTCTCGTACTTTTCAAAGGGTTTCTATCTAACTTACAGAACACAAAAGCTTACTGGGTGGTAGGAATTTATAAAAACACCGAGGGAAGAAAAAAGTCCAAAATCAGGGTCACCATATTGTCAGTGGTCGGTCTAAATACACTTGCACTGGGCCCGTATTCATGAAACCGTTCTCATGCTCAAGCATGGGTTCTGTGCTCAGACCAGCTTTCTTGTAACTCACTTAGATCATGTCAACGGCCAAAAAAATCAAATGTTAACATTTAAAACAGTATTTTATTTAAGTCTCTTCAAACTTTTTCCATAAATCATTGACAAAATATGATTGTATTTATTAAATTATAACTCACCAAGAAATTAGGCTTGAGCACAAAATCCATTCTTGAGTATGCGAACGGTTTCATGAAAACAGGCCTAGGTATTGTCATTATCCTTTCTCATCAGTGTTTTGGGATTTTCTTTATATTTACTTTTATTAATTTAATGATCTATTTTTATGTATTTATTTATTTTGGTTTTCTTGTTTTCTAGTTTTTAATCGACTTTGAGTTCGACTTTTCAGCTTTATTTAGACGTTACTGACGATACCGAACTGTGTTATTGACATCACCAAGCCATGCGCTAGTGGGGGGATTTAAAATTATAGAACAGAACAGAAATCTTATCAAGGACGGGGCTGGAAGTTTACTTATTAAGCCAAACACTAAAATAGACATGGATGAAAAATGGGAAAAAGTTTGTAGATATCTCGCATATCTACAAGTTGCCGATTATATGTTTTATCTTATTTACAATTTTGTATTGTTTGTAAAGGAAGAAACAGAATCGAAACATATTATCTCATTTACCTAGCTACTGACACTTATTATACTACCAGATTTCTTTCCTTTACATTGTTTTGTTTAATACTTATACTTCTGTCTGTCCATTTACCTCTCTTTATTTCTTCTATTTATTTGTTCTCTCTTGTTTCTCTTTACTGATGTTCTTTCCCCTCTATTATAACATTAAAATAAATGAATTGCCACTTACTAAAAAACTTTGAAAATAAACAAATACACAAAAAAATAGACATGGAGAATTAAAAAGCATCGAATATTCTGCATTGCATGTCAGTAATGTTAGGGAAAGGAGACACGAAGTTCATTTTGACAGCAACTTATTCATCATGTATATAGTTGTTGGATTAAAACTTAACTTACTCTCTACTAGCCAACTTTGATAGCCTATGACATACATCCTTCCGTTAATTGATTCAAACCAAGTTTTTATATCAATACATGGCACACTACATATTTGGCACATACTAATCAGTAAGGTATAAAACCTATCACCATACATCTACTGCACAAAACATATTGCTGAGTAAGGGAAAGGATATTCAAAGTTCATTTTGATTACAGAGAATAGTAGCATTTAAAGGTTCACTTGTATACGTGAAACCCCTTGATGTATGGCGCGATAGTAAATCTTTTCATAGTATAATAGTATTAGTCATGAAGCGCCAATTTTAACAGGCGTACATTGCGGTCACGATACTAATTCCGTTGCATTTTCACTACTACAATGACACTGTACTAACCAACTACAATAACTTGTGAATTATACTTCCGTTGATTAATTCAAACCATTGTTATTTTCAAAAGAATTACTTTTAAGAGCAAGAAAGTTAGACGGGGTACTCTCACACTTCCTTCTGCATAAACGTCGTTCTCTGTTTTCCTCTCACGATCAACTTTGTGGGTGTTCAAAGGAAAGAAAGAAAAGAGTGTCGGTTAAGTGTTACTCTTTACTACTATTAAATGGAGGTCAAGGTGGTACTGTAACACCTGTACATGTCAGATTCGTATAGAATGTATAGTTCAGTTGGCTAAGGCGCATCACACACACATATATAGAAATGATTAAATATATAGTAAAACAACTGGAAAATCGTTATACAAATACAAGATTGATGAAATGCAAGTTGAACGTAGCTGAAAGTCATACTTTTCATGACAGTGGACGAAATTCTATTTGCATCTTTTGTAAGATTGTTTATACTCATTCTGCTGAGCAGAAATTGAAATTTTGGCTTATCAGGTTTTCCCTAACTGAACAACTATATCTGTTGGGTGCAAGTGGGATATGTAGGGATTACATATAAGTGGCTGCTTTTCTATATTATCTGATATAGGATGAGAAACAGTGATCAGGGGACGTATTTTAAGGTGCAAGAGTAATCTGCAGAGTATGTGGCATTTGGTTTGTAAGAAGCAATGTATAAAGAAGGATAACTCTGTTCGGCTTCATGCCGTCTGGTTCCCGCCTTTAATGGTTACCATATAAGCTGAACAATATATTATGATCTGACACACGTTTTTATTTCCTTTTCTACTATAAATTAATTATGAAACAGTTCAAGTAAATAATAGCATTAAACTAGTGACTGCTGATACCTTTATATATATATATGTATTGATAATTTGATAAACGACATTCAGAACAAAAAGTTGGGAATTCAACCGATTTTTAAAAAAATGAACCGCTAATAAAAAGAGATTCCACAATCATCTAGATCTTACTTTCATTGAAGATGGTAAATGGGCTGAACACATAACAAAAACCTATGATAAAGCATATTAAGGAATCAATATTCCTAGAAATTAAATAAAAAATCAACAGATAGAAAATTACTTATAACGTACAATTCCTTTATTGGACCAACACTGCGGAACAAAACAATAAACAAAAACAAAACAAAACAAAGTAAAAAAAAAAAACACTGATTAAATCAATTCAGCTAGACGCAGCTAAAATCAGGTGAAACGAGAAGCAATAATTAATTCTGCTCTATGACTATCCATCTTAATTAATATAATCGATTCATTTAGTACTGACATCACAAGTATAAGATATCAGCTAAGGTCAAATAAAATATTTGGTGTTGAAGAGACATTTTTTTTAACTTAACTTCTCATCTACTTTCAATAAATATAATCAATAAAACTCTATTAATATTAACTCCTAATCCTTATCTCAATTTTAGAAAAAAATAAAAAAATAAAAAATAAAATTCAATACTTAAAACTCATAATGATGTAACTATCATATTTAACAAGGCAAAGTATTCCAAGGCAATCCATAGTCCCTCACCAGTTATGATTTCTATATTTAACAAACAGTACACTTATGTCAGGATGTACCTACTGTTAGGAAAATATCCTGATACTTAATACCCCTGGACAAAGATTTTCAATAGTCAAGGTCAAAGGTTAAGTCATAGATCACAGTGACCTAATTCTTGCACTCTGCACTCCGCCATCCCAATATGTCTCTGTACACAAAAACTGGTCAATAAAGGTGAAATAGTATAGAAGATGTGTCCCGGAAAAATGATGATGATGATGACGATGACGACGTGTGTTATGTTTCTAAAAAGTAATTGAATTGCATAGTTGCACCAAGGACACCCTGCGTTTGCACGGCAAGAATCAGAGTACGTTAAGGTGAATGATATATGTCAGTTTATGATCAAGGACTTTGAGTCGTCAGAATCCCATAAGGTAAAAAGATTTATTGCTGTGCAACTTTTCCAGTAAATAGTCTTTAAGAGTTACTCCCCTTGCATTTTCACACTCTCTGTTATTTATACTACGCACCAGTGCTTTACAAATGTATGCATATGTGTCTGACAGAGGACTTTTATAGGCAAAGCGTGTTCTCAAATCCTTATGCTTTCTCAATAAAATTTATTGAAATGAAAGGATACCTGCCACGCCGTCTCGAAGGAGCGTTAACAGCACATCGGGGTTCAAACTCTAGAAAACACACCAGATGTCACCGCCGAAATTCAGACACCCTTGTCCATGTTCCATGACATGCCTAGCAAATACAGCTATATATAGTCAACTGTACAGTGACCTGAATCAAAATTGCAATTATGCATTTTCAAAATTAAGAATAAACAGAAAGTCAATCGCATTACATTGTTTGTGTAGGTTTACTTATGCTAGCCTATCATATCATCTTAACTGAACAAAACGAAATTGATGAATATTTCTGTTTCGCAGATTATCGTAAAATGCCAATCTTTGAAATATTGGATTTTTTGTTAATTCATGTGATTGCTACAGTGTAACAATAAGATAACACTAATATCGGTAATCCCGATGCCTTTCACCCTCCTGGGTTAATTACGTTAAAACGTAAATCACATGACGTCATAAACTTGTGACGGCATCAATAAATAAATGAAGCATAAACAATCATGTTCATGTATGAGTGAGTTCGAATATGATCGTGATATTCCGATTCATAGTTATCAAAAATGCTAAAGTAATCGAGTAAATTCATACATAATTACAGAGCATTTCACTGCTAATTGACTCAACTCCGTTTAATTTGTGAATAAAATAAGCTAATTCTACAATTTCCACTTTTAATTTTCCACTTTATCACATAAAAAAGAAACGTTTGATGTCGACTTCTCCTGACTCGATCAATTGTACGTCCTAATGTGCGCCGCACACAGCCCGGGTTCAGGGGGTCACATAATCAAGTTGTGCACACAACGTGTCACCTGTATCCCCTACCTTACCCATTTATTGTACCTGGTCGAGCCTTAAATAGAAAGCCTCCCACAACAGGTTTTAGCAAGGCAGCCAACAGGTAAACAACATCTTGTTCAACAAGAAGGTAATACACTAAAGGTAAGCAAGTTTAAACGTAAGACAAAACTGCGTACTAACCTAATTATGTATGGTCTAGCATTGCTTTGTTTGTGATTTTCATTTTTGCTGAAAATAATGAATATGTATGTATAACTGTGTCTGAATGTTGTGAGACACGTACGTAAGGTATTTAGTGTGACGACGATAGCACTGTCAGTGATGTTTATGAATTACGTAGATAGTTAGCATATAGGTGTGTACAGCAGTGAAACGTTACCTTATACATCTGTACTAGGTAGTATAGGCAGGACAGAAATGTCACGTTAACACACCGAATACATGGGGAAAGTAAGACCTTCTTCTAATGTGTTTTTAACTGAAATAAGTTTTTGGTTTTAATTGTATAAGATTAATCAAACCGTTCAGAACGCGACAGAATCCTGGTAAGTTCAGTAAACATTTGGCACAAACAGTCAAAGTATGGTTAGTTTGACGAATCGTGTATCCCAAGTTTCGAACAGCGAGTTTTAAAACTGACGGAAGTTTACACTTATGCATTTCTAGTATTAAACTGAACTTGTATACCTTATTGATATACATGTCTGTGGTGATTGATGTCTATACCCTATCTATATATAGCTCAATAAATCTAAACAGATCTACAGTATACCTATATATAGTTTATTAGCAGTCATGCAAGTTACACAAAATGCACAAATATATGTTAAGATGAGTGTGACTCTTATCAATTAGTTCGGTTAGACAAATCCAACAACAACATGTTACATGTAGAGTCATAGCAAAGGCGGCGGAAACGCAAACTGTACATTTAAACAACTCAATCCCACCCTCTCTGCAAAATGCCTTCTTGTTGGATTGCAGCAGGTTTATGCCTACAAGTGGTCGCAATATTACAATTGGTGATTGAAAGACATTTGAAGTTAGAACTTATCTAATGAAAAATTAGACATGTGAAAGTACCTGGGTTGTACCCTTCCTTGCTGAGCCCTGTTACTTGTCTGTCTTTAATAAAGACGGAGTTTATATGTCCACTGTCTATTTTCTGGATGTTGTGTTCATTCTCAGATACAAGGATTTCCTTAGTTTACTTTACAACGCGTCCTTATCTTGTTCATTTTGTTTAAAACTGTACCACGTCTGCAAGGATGATGATTGGCATTTTTTATGAGTAATAAGTCCTAGATGTATGTTGGGCGTTTTATTCATTTGTAGACTGTTATAGAGGTATATGTCAGGTATACATGTATTGCAAGCAAGCGACAGAATCATCAGTAACGATTGTCGAAAACGGAATACAGTTGAATAAAGAAATTATCATAAAGTGTTTGAAAACAATAATAAGTCATTTGAAGGTTGCCAAAAGTTGGAGAGAAGTTGTGGAATTGCCACTAGTTTGTCGAGGTTACAATTCGAGAAGTGGTTTATTTTTCATATAGTTACACTTGTACACAACTTACCTGTAATGGGTTTAATGATCACCATTTACAAGCTGTTCCCAAGCCTGCGTTGGGTAATGAGGAGGGGGACACAATGACAACGTATCAGTCAACACAATGTGTAACACAGTGACTATATCTGGATACAAATCCTGACAAGAGCTGATCCTGAGACTGCGCTCGAGGGGTTTTTCCTATTGATTTTATGTGGAAGGGGTGAGGGTTCCAATTAAGACGATTGGGCAACGCTTCTTTAAAAGACCATTCCAAATCTGGCCGCCGCTGGCACGCCCCCACTAGACCCGCCACTGGCACGCCTCACTAGCTCCGCCACTTGCACGCCTCACTAAAACCGCCACAGGCTCGTCCCACTTGACCCGCCACAGGCTCGCTTCACTAGACCCACCACTGGCACGCCCCGACATACCCACCACTGGCACGCCCCTCTATACCCGCCGCTGGTAAGCCCCACTAGATCCACCACAGGCTCGCTCCACTAGACCCACCACTGGCACGCGCTAGACCCGCCATAGGCTCGCCCAAATAGACCCGCAACAGGCTNAGGCACGCCCCACTAGACCCGCCACAGGCACGCCCCACTAGACCCGCCAAATGCTCCCTCCACTAGACCCGCCTCAGGCTCGCCCCACTAGACTCACCACTGGCACGCCCAACTAGATCCGGCATTTGCAATCCCCACAAGACCCGCCACAGGCTCGCCCCACTAGACCCGCCACTGGCACGCCCCATTTGACCCGCCGCTCGCATGCCCCACTAGACCCGCCGCTTCCTGACTACAAACCAAGTGTTGCTTTATAAGAAAAGTTGCCGTGATATATGTCTATATAAACTTTTCCAGTGGACCGGTATTCAATGGTTTGTATTAGCCTGTTATTTGCTAGTATCAAGTTCCCAGGTACGTATATGCTTGGTGCGCTATAGAGCAGGTGCCCTGGTTTGGATTCCTCGTTACGTCATCTTACATAATCCATGTGTCATGTGACAGTCTGTACATGTTCCAATACTTATCAAAAGGAATACGTGATACATATCGCACCGGTGAAGAGGACGAAAATATCCACTGTGGAAATAAGTTTAACCTGCACAGTAGAATTATAGATAGTAAGCGATCGCGACACTAGTATTCACAGTGGTAACGAGTTGCCCAAACATGTTTAGCTAGACAATGTAAGACTGACGTCATAAAGGTATACCCTACATTAGTCACGCCATAAGATGAATTTCAAAATACAGGGGAAACAAGCAAGCTTCGCACCTAAAACCTGCATGGATCGCAAATAAATTCGCAAAAGATGTAACGCCGGGATATGGCCATTGAATATCACCTGCATATGGGACAACTATACAACTAATATAAAGTAGAATACTGGCTAAAACAAATGCAGACCACCTGATTGTTTGGTGTGAATGAACGTTGATCATCCTATCTTTTGATTGTCAGTTAAATGGTAAGCAATTTAAGAGCAATTAATTTTCAAACATAATCCCGTGTGAGACCTGCCCTACCGTACACGATGGAGATTCTTTTGGGAACATTCATAAAAGTCATAAAATCGTCTATGTACCTTTTATTATATATTCGAAAGGGATTCAAACTTTGCACTCATACCAATTTAGTATAGACTAGTACACACTATCTCTCTCCTCAATTGTCACGTCCACATACTTGGAAAGTTAGTACAGGAACTGTGTTAGAAAAGGTAAGAGTTTTTAGAACTGACAGCTCCGATCCTTTTTACCTTTCAAAACATACTTTATCTCTATTTCAAATCTTTCTCGTCTACTAAATTGCCATGATACCGTGATAGAAGACGTTAGATAAATAAATCGAACATAACTCATCGTCCCCTTCTAGGTTTGTTTTGGCATATTGAAGTGCCTAGATCCTGGAAGATAATCAATATAACACGTGTATCAAGGTTGATAAACGTTAAGATTAGACCCGTAGTGTAGGCAGTCCAGTCAAAATGTTTAACCTTTACATAAAATATAAATGATAACGTGTATTGTCTCTTTACTTCGGAGATAAATCATACATTTTTCCTATAAAGGATGGGTACCTGATATCTAAGGATCCTCACTGATAAGGATGTATTTTGCACGATGATGCCTTTAGGTCATACCTACATAAATTGTTATATTTAAGAAAAACTCCGTTCGACCCATTTAAAGATATTTATTCAATTACAGCCATTTATGTAGGTCTGACCTAAAGGCATCTTCAGGCAAAATACATCCTTATCAGTGAGGATCCTTAGATATAGATAACAACACAACTTTCAAACAAACCCAACAACATTTGTTAACCCAATATTACTTTTGCTAACTAGGTTAATTTATAGTGTTCACTTCTTAGAATTTCCAGAAGAGATTTACTCATACAAGAATATTGCAGTAATCCTCTTTAATTGTACCTGTCCCCAGGATCATGAAACAATCTTAGATTTAAGTTTTCTCTAAGCCAATCAGGTATGCCGTCACTTTTCATGACGTTATTTGTGATAGGCTAAGTCTAAACTTCATGATCCTTGGGCCTGATATTTTCGTTAAATATAATATTAAATATAGTCATGTTTGCTCTCTTCTACATGGAATGTTCGCCTTCTTTTTAAAAGAAATCATCCTCGAAATTCCAGGGGTCCTAGAATATGTCATATCGAAACAGAAGGTTCTGTACGGGCCACATTGTGTATAGTACGAGTATACTAGTTTGATCTATTGATGTACACGGTAGATCAAAAGAATCGCGCTGTAACGTAACGGTAAACACTATCGGCTTTCAGGTCCGGTGTCGTTCTTCTATGAGTTTCAAAGGACCGGTTTTTAACATGAAACCAATCGAATTGCTAACCGCGAGCACTCAATTTTGCTATGACAAATTCAAGGGGAGCAAGAGTAACCCCTGGAATTTCGAGGATGTAAAGGAGTAGGTCTGTCTAAACACTTCATATCTTCTATGTCTTAACCGTCTCCGTTATCATAAAGGTTTTGATTCTACACTTGTATATCTATATATAATTGGCAATGCATTTGTAGCGTAACAGACTTCATAAAATGGTCCTTGTTGGCGCCACTTAATGCTTAGTGTGTCATGTGTTGCCCGCATATATCGTATTCGATTAATTTGGGCACCTCAAAATGTTTTCAATCAAATAAATATTATGAATTGTATACTAAATACAGAAACAAATTCAGTCGGTGTAATTTTTCGGACTCAACTTGAGTATCTGATCATTAATAAAACTTTTTATAGCTGAAAAAGGATAATTCGGAATTCATAAAAAATGAATTCAGATGAAAACGGACTTATTTTTAGTTCACAACGACCGTAGGTTTAGCTGATAATCATATTTAATAAACATGAAGGAAGTATAAACGACCTTAAAATGACGATTATTAATAGACTAACAATATCTCTTCTCCTCTCTACAGAACCGAACCAAACATGCAGAACATGCAGTACCTCTTGATGCTACTACCAGCGCTTGTATTCTCGTACGATCTCAAAGATGACATGGATTGGAGTGCGTTTGTTAGTATGGATGCGGAGGTTACTCTCAACTGTAACAACAGCGCCTCTATGATACAGCAAGGTGAAATTGGTCGGTGGACTGTTCCATCCGAGGAAATACTGACAGACAACCATAATGATTCAAACTTCAAAGTACAAGCCATGTATGGAATTGAGGGATACGTCCTCATCGTAAAAAAAGTTACAGCTGAAACCCAGGGCGTTTATGTGTGTATCATCTACAACGGCGGTGAACCGCGAGATCAGGTGGTACGTCTCATCAACTTCAATGGTCCTAAATACGAAAACATGAACGAGAGGTACGAGACACACATCATCATTGCTGTCATCGCCACTGCGACCTTCATAGGCCTTCTGCTTATCGTCTGTCTCACATACCGCTTCCGGTACCGGTCAACAGAAGAAAAAATGTTCGCGCACAACTTCCGGGAAGTAAGCAACGGAGGGAGGAGCCGGACGATCGCTGATACTGTGAGTGCCCCAGACAGCAAGTCGGCATATGACAATCCTGGCTCTACAAAACTATAAACAAAGTGTGTTGTGCTTTATAAAAAGACCTGGGCTTGTGTAAAACTGTACCAATACTTCATAATATCTACTGGTGCCTTACGCTTTTTCGTTAAATCAGGAAGGAAACATTTGCTGTATTCATTTTTAAAATAGTTTACAAATGCCTATTCAAATAACTCAAATAAATGCGTAGCCATGACATTCATAAAAAAAACATAAAATTAGGATGGGTTTAAAATATGTATATTTATGAGGTCATGGCAGACATTCACATGTCGTGAAGGCGATAGCGTAAGAGCAGGTGATATGAAGTACGGCTGCATGTATCAAAAGACTAAGCTCAGTGACCAGGAACCTGGCACATAACACTTGCATCTGATACATAATAATTGTGAAGTATTATTCAAAAGTAGTCCAAATACTAACATGTATTTACATATTCGGATTTCAATATTATGTACCTAACACTTTACTTTACATAACACTTATGTACATCTGTTTATGCAATATTTTAACTGGTGTAAGTATTCTATCCACTTTAGTATAATTTACTGTTACGTTACGGGCTATCATTGAACGCAAAGGCAGACTAATATGACAACATGACACTCGATTAACAAAATAATAAAATCGCATGTCACAGGATCGAATTATTGACATAAAAATATGGTATTTTTTTATAGTAGGAAAGGGTTTCTTGATATGATGATTTCTGTGTATTTCATATCAAGAATCTTTTTCAGTTTATAAAAAAAAATCATTTAATTCGCTTGACGGACATCACAATAGACCTAGGTTATTCATTTTTATCAGAAAAGCGAACATATAAAAAAACCAAGAACAGCTACATGACCTTCCACTACGTCTAACAAGCAATATAGTACCACTACGTCACCAGCTATCATCAGACACATGTAAAGACAAACAATCAAAAACAGCTACAGCAGTTGATATTGTACATCTTCACATACAACAATGAGACAGACAACACACTACCTATATTGCAACCCATTACATAGTTTTTCTTAATGTTTTAGAAATATGTATAGAAACCAATGAGCATATAATTGTATGTGTTTGCATTGCTTTATTGCTTTATATTTAATTATGTTAATGTGAAATTCTGTGTATGACCAAAATTGAAACGTATCACTGTATTATGCATTTTTTTATTTTCAATAAAATATTATTCAAACTGCTTTGTATTCCACCAGATGAGTCATTTCGTAAAATAAGTAAGGAACATCTACCTTAACATTGGTTTGTTGATGGGAAAACTCGAACGAAAGAAATATTTGGTACATAATATAACCACTTCGTCCATTTAGGACTCTTCAGTGGTGCTAAGATCCAAAAAATAGAAATCTATGTAAATATTTTCATAAAAATATTTCAATAGTTTCGTGTTCCGAACAAGTTGACAAAAAAGCAAAGGGTTGTGTCCCTTTACCTCTAAATCTCCGTCTTTCACTGTTCTGTCATTACACAGTGCCTTACAACTTTTTGTTGCAGCAGATAACTTATTCACCCTCGTACTTTCTGTAAACTGTGCCGGGGGGGGGGGGGGGGGGGGGGGTCTACGAAAAATTGCGTGTATTTTCAGCATCCGTTGTGATCTGCAAGTATAAAAATAAGAACTATCACACAAGCTTCTTATTTAATGGGAACCTTTTGTATACTGCCTTAGTTATATCTTCGGTAAACGAGAATGGGGATATATTTGTGTTTTTAGGACTATTAATTTAGATAATATCGTAAAGTATTCCACGTTTCACGAAAAGAACAATGTTCCGAAAATAAAATAAATATTACCGAATGCCGATGACCTGTGCATTTGTATCACGTAACACTAAACTTAACACGCAAAGTAAGATTTCCTTATCAAGAGTCTTTGTTTTATATGTATGTAGCGAAATTCTTCCGTTGTTGAAAACTACAATACATGTATCATAACGTCCAGTACTCCAATATAATACTGCAACACATTTATGTTATAAAATGCCAGGCGTCCAGACAACAACACATTTATGTTATATAATGCCAGGCGTCCAGAAAACAACACATTTATGTTATATAATGTCAGGCGTCCAGAAAACAACACATTTATGTTATAAAATGCCAGGCGTCCAGACAACAACACATTTATGTTATATAATGCCAGGCGTCCAGACAACAACACATTTATGTTATATAATGCCAGGCGTCCAGACAACAACACATTTATGTTATATAATGCCAGGCGTCCAGACACTGATCTTTTCTAATTCAAACGACTTGTTTGTATGCACTTCCTAATCACTGGACCGTCATAATCTTCTGAACACAGCAATTTAAACCTTTCACTTCTCAACGTAAATTACCACAGTAAACACAATTCCTGATACGTAATACATCACGTGTCAACTACCTGTAAAATCTAGCAAAACCAGTTACCGTTATCTTCATGTTAACAGTAATGAGACCCATTATCATTATGCAACGTGTTAGCGGTCATCCATCCAGCTACTGACCACGTTCGATGAGCTGAGCTAGTGTGCGCATCCCAGGTATATACCGCATCGCTAGAAAAGCTAGCTTGCCATTAAGGCAACCTTTCCCCATCCTTTTCCTTAGCTGGTACACTTATACTTAACATTTATATTAATTGTACGGATTAACGGACTATCGGTATTCTAGCTATTTCACTCTTTTTTGTGTATTCTTGTGTATGGGCAATGTCCATAATTATAGGATTCTCCACCAGCTTATCAGTTGATTGTATCCTACTGTAAATATGGAAACATCATCTTAACGTTGTGTGATAAACTAAATTTTTATTCACAGAAATTTATTCTACTGATATTTTATGGTTCCCTACTTTAATTATTTGTGATGTTACAACGAATTGCATAGGTCCAGGAAACCTGGATACGGTGTGTCGTCCATTACAGTAGAAGTAGCACAAGGTGTTAGCCTAGAATTTAACGTGAGGATTTCTATGTTTTGAAATGTATCATGGTAATGGATTACGATACGACAAGAAATGTTAATCAAAGGAGAGACCTCATGGAAACAACTCCAATTCAATCAACAGCTATGTTTAATTCTTTTTAACTGTCAGAGCAATCCTGTCATCGCGTTGTTACTCCTGTTGGTACCTTTAGGATAAAATGAATAAACTATCAAACATATAGCACAACGCAAGTCTTAACATAATATCTCTTGGAACTGCTACCAAGGAGAAAATGTTCAGGAACAATATTAGAAAGTTTATGTTTTTGGATAAATTTTATCGACATGAATACTGTCAATCCTCTTTTTTTGACATGGTGCGTATTTTCGTGTTCAACCGCTTAATCATCTTTTTTTGAAAACGACTTGGACCTGACATATTCTAATGTACATGAAAATGAAAAAGTCCGAGTACATTGTTACTTTTTTCTCCAAGACCGTTTATCAACTCATGTTGATGAAACCATTCAGGTAATAAAGCGTAAGTGATTTATGGATTTACAGAAAGATTTATTGAGATAAATATAAATGACAACGAAACTGGAAAATAGAAACACAAGTGTGCGGGTTTTCCTTTCAATAATCTAACAAAGGTATGAAGGACGGCAAACAGCGGAGTAATATACAGTTTCTTGATGTACACGTAGAATATTTACTAGCTTATACATTTTGATGATATTACGTGACTTACATACGATGTGACCCGAAACACTGGTAAAATTTGAGGTATACGGTATATTGACAGTTATTCAACAGTGCATTTGCACTTGAGCATTTTTTTTTTTTTTTTTTTTTTTTTAGAATTATTATGAAAATAATTGATGTCCACTCCCCCGTTCAGTATTTTACATGAGCTGGTTGAGTTATCATATAACTCCCATGTTATGCAGTAAATACACCAATTTCATATTTCTCCATATTAACTTATCTTATATGACCTGGAGCGATTTTGATTGGTTGACCGCATCACACTTTTACGATAGTAAACATGGCGGTCGCGAAATTTCGAGTTGATTCTAAATGAAGGTTGACAACACACAGAAACAAATTTCCAGAATATTATCTTATCCATCCAACTAGGGGAGTTTACCAAACGTTCTGAACAACTGTACACAGATGGCAAAAATTTTACAAAACAACAATGTCAACGTGCGATCGGAGACTAGGTAAAATCCAATTTCCATTGAAATGTGAATTATGTGTTTGGAGGAAACATTTACGGTGGATATTTCAGCATTAACATTTATTGACAATCTGCCACATCCCTCCCCAAACCAGTAACACGAGGTAGGATTATTAAATCGGACATTGATAGTCATTTGAGTTATTTGTGACTATTTGTTACAGCGCTGACCTACATTTTGATAGCATTGCTACGGTCATGTCATCAAAAAACAGTTGATAAAATGACGGACGATTAAATTGTTTGTTTTAGCGAATGAAAAGAAAACATTTCAGTTATATGATAAAAAGGATCTTATACTCGTTCCCAATGTCATATAAGATTTATGAAACTCGCCACGAATTTTTCTTAGACTCGTTTCATAAATCTCATATGACATGGAAACGAATGTAAGATCCTATATGCATGTGATGGTCTGGAATATTGATATCAGTAGTGTGTGTATGGAATATTGATATCGGTAGTGCCAGAATTGAATAGTGAGTATAGCGAAAGTGATACATATGACGTGAGAAATAGGCATATAAGTTTAAACTTAACACGTTTAGATATTCATTAAAGATTTGTTTACTGCAACACGAGGAAGTGGATTAGATATATATGGAGAAGGCTTTTCCATAAGGAGATAAACAAAAATGGTCCCCTAAAATACCAAAAAGAAATCAGATATATATTAGTTGACTTAGGCAAACTTCACATTCTCATCTTAATTATTTCTTGCTAAATAAACAAATGATACATTTCAACCTAATCTTTTGAGGTTTAAATTACGTTCAAATCAAATGAGATCTATATAGACAGGTTTCCATTAGACTTAACAACATTGTGTATTTCTTCGACTCTACACAATGCTATAAATTCACTTTTTTGACATTAGAATCATCACTTAAGTAAGCCATTTTATCGTCATTTTTAGTAGTAGCAAGTTAATTGTTATCCTTCCTTTTTCTACATAATAAGGTCACATGATGTTCTTTTCATTTTTGATCCAGCAAAAAGTAAAAAAGATAATACAATAACAATATAATGATATGACCAACAAAATGTCCATATTTTACTTTACTTTGATGCAGTTGCTCCGTTAAAGTAGGGCAATCCTAGTGGAGAGAAGGCTTCAAGCTGAATATTTCTGGATTTACAAAATGCATGAAGTTGCTTCTGGGGAAACCTTGCTTAAATTTCAACCTGCAATTAATGAAGATTTTGTAACGCAATACATGTGAAGCAATAGTTCAAATCTGCAATTTTCTAATGGTAATATTTCTCGACACTGAGCACCATCCATCAATCACTTGATTACAATACGTGTAGAAAATTATCATCACGCTATATACCGTGGGTCTTGAATTAATTTTTTAAACTGATTAAGTGTGCATGAAAATAATGTGATATGATACATCAAGTAAAAAATGAAGAAAAAAAACCAGCGTTTGAATACAACATCAAATAGTTAAATGTATTTCGATAATATGCAGAGTTTTGTAAAATTCGACGTGTTCATTTTATTAAGACAGTATACATGATTGACGGTTGGCGGAATGCGTGCGAACTCAAGAATGTAATCTAGTTGCTTTGAATTGAAGCTGGACACGCCGATTGAACGCGCTTTGCCCTTATATACCGTTTCTTCCATAGCCTGTAATATAAAACGATTACACAGCGTTGCCGTAGCATACAAATAAGACGTCTGTTTGTTTGGGTTTAACGTCCTGGTAACAGCCAGTCTGTTATGAGGACGGGTTCCCTGGGAGACAACTCCGGGAAGAGAAAGTAGGTAGAAAAGAAAGAAGACAGGACAGATTGGAAACACAGCCATTTTATCATACAATGATGGTTTATTATGTCTTATTAGTATAAAAATTAATTCTCATATGTATAGAACTACGGTTAATGTTAGCATTTTTTTAAAAGTAGATTACTTAAGTCGTTTTCTAGTAAAGCAATGTGAGAACAATCGAGTATGTCTTTATGAAGTACATCTTATTGATAGTTACCTTTCATGTATCTCTCAAATCAACCGGTGCTAACTCTGTATATAACGGGGGTTTCTCGGGGTAGCCGTCAATATTCTGTAAGATTGTGAACCTCTTAATTTATTGCTAATTTGATTTATCATATGATGAAGAAATGGTATTTGAAAGCAATTTAATGTTAAGATATGATAATAAATGAGATTGTTATGTATGAGTTTTGTTAATTCCGTATTAAGGTCAGAAGCTTGACATATCTTAAAATATTAGTAAAAACTATGATGCGAACTAAAACTCGATTCAAGTTATGACAAAATATGAACAAGGGCAAATTTACACGGATAACCTTTAACAAATATAAGGAAATAAGACTAGGTGTTCCGGAAGGGAACGCGGCTTTTGCATCTAGGTCAAATTCAGTCCTTAGTGAAACGAATTGCTTTGAGTGATCTTCTGTTTATGTTTGTATATAAATGTTTTGCTGACATTCTTTGCATAGTACAAAATAACTAGATCGTCGCTTCAAAGATACGTCTTACATGAGGTGTGCTTACATTTTATTTCAGTAATGTATGTCATTTTTAATTTTCAAATGTAACATTATGCAAATATTAGACCGGCATTGATTACTTTGTTTCCCTTTTATTTGTTATAACGTTGGGTTTGAACTATATTCATTGGAGGTACAGTATATCTTCTTTGAATCATATTATATGAAAAAGTACAGCTTACTTACGCGCTATCAATAAACAATATCCACCTGCTACGGTCGCTATTGTACAAGTAAGTACATCATCATTCATCATACTGAATGCATCTCGAAATCATTGTTCAACAAATTATTTAAGAACATTTTATGCTATATCATTTATAAATTAAATTATAATTATGTCCGTCTACATTCAGTATTAGCTTATACATGACTCTAACTACACATGCTATTTACTACTTCCATACCTTCATCGCCTACGGGCCGTGGATGAGAAAGAGATCAACATGATCCAGTCTTAACCTCCTCAGGCTTTCGTCTAGCGCCGGCCCTACAGCACTCTCTGTCATGAAATGGGGTAACAACTAAAATAAGTAAACACTCATTGTATCAAAACAGTAAGTATATAACTACTGTAGGTCTACACCAAAATTTCTATCTCAACCAAACCCTTTTATTTAGAACCCGTTACTTCGATCTACTGCTTTTGTTTTTAGGAAGTTCATATAATGAAAACCATATATACTCTGATTGATTTCATGATTAGGAAGATTGTACTATTGAATTGACCGTTTACGTACCTTTGTGGTGATGAACACTTCCTCCCCCTTCAGGTTGGTGGTTTCAAAATATTCCTGGAGTGCTTTCCCAATGGCTCCTTCGTTTACATAGTGAAAAGCAGTATCTATGTGGCGGTATCCCATATCAAGTGCTAGTTTGATAGAAACATCTAATTTCTCTGCAGAAATCTGTACGCACCACGTTTTTGTCAAAAGGCAATTAATGCAAATCATATTCGATCACAACCATACGCATTGTAATATTATGATTTTATAGATACGTATTTCTTACATTAGACTTTTACTAGCTAAATTCTTATGGCAGTCGCAGGGTATTAAACTTAACATAACGGCTTCAAATACTTTCCCAAATAATTGATTTTGATCCTCGACACCTGGCACTTAACCTTAACATTATTTCATCTGTAATAGCAGGAAAGTCAACATTACTCTTGATGTTCCAAGAGCTACTTGTGGGATTCGATGTCCATTGTTCAGCGTAATGGAATCTGCCATGTTCACTCGGCTTCAAGTAAAACTGTAATAAAAAAGGGAAATAACTTATTGTATACGATTGGTTAATGCTGCCATGTGTAAACTAAACGCTTGTCCGTGGCCTTTGTGTAGGGTAGGGACTGATTAGTGTGTGTTTGGGTGTGTGGTGTTTGCATGGTTGCATGGAATATGAGAACAGCAATGAGCAGCAAAGAAACGCTTGGGCAGAAACACACGTCTTTCCTTTTTGAAAATATGTATTGACGTCTATTCGCTTTTTTTAATAATCATGATAATAATTCGAGGTTCGTATATACCGCTTTATCACAACCTAGCTCGTAGGTCGTCTCAAAGCGGTTCACAAATTATTATCCGTGGTTATAGGGCCTTTGCAACCAGCCAATATCTTTCTCATCTTCTGGGGACCATACAGCCGGTGCTGCCATTTCGGCGCTTACAGCTAGCATTCTACAATTCTAAAACTGTCCAACCACGTACTCATTTACAACTGAGTATACTGGAACAAGAACAAGAGTTAAGTATCTTGCTCAAATATACAGTACAGTGCAATGCCGTGACTCGAACCCGCAACCCTTCGGCCACAAGCCCGGTGTCCTACCACTAGACTACCGTGCCTCCTGAACATCTATCAAAATGAATCTTGTTATAGAAGAATTTAAACTATAACAGTCCTCTGGATTAAGGACAAAAATGTCATCATACACATTTTGAAAACAACCTATACAGAATATATTAGACCTGTATCACATGATTGAGAGTTCTTTTATAAATACGTTTCGCCTGTCATCTTCTTCAGACCAATGACTTCACCAAGATTTAAAAAAAAAATGTATATTTGTAGGACAGACATGTTCCACATTTAGGGTACAACATCATTGGCAACCCTAGGTTTTAACCCCTAATTCTGTATCTTCAGGTTAGACATTTATATATTATACATATACATGTGAAAGAGACATATAATTCCATAATTCTACGTACTCACACAATACAAGTGGATTACATTTCTATCTGATGTAAATATGTCTTTCAAATATATATGTGCTTGACCTAGATTGATCTGTTAGACGAATGGAGATAGCAGTTTCATCTGATAAAACATTATCTTCCGGCCAAGCATGATCATTTGCGGTCTTGACTTCACCTAGCTACTGTATAGCTTGTTGATCTCTTGGCTCCGTTGTTATTATTTCAAATGTTGAGAAAAATATGTTTTCCGTAGTAACTTAATTTTGTGAAATAGTCCTCATTTTCAAATTTGAACGCTGTTTATGTTTTCAGTTCTATGTCAAAAGCAATTTTCGATTAATATCAATGAACAAATTTATTTATATGAATATATTTTCATATGTAACTGAAAATATTGACAACATTAAAATTTGGACTTTAGTCTGTAATATATCATGAACATGGGGTTTGATGTCGCTTGACTTACGAGGAAGCAGGACTAAAGCGGACGTGAGCGCGGGTGTATGTATCCGGATATCAAAGCCTGCCTATAACAGTCTCTTTTGTACTGCTTTGATAGGCTTAAAGCACAGAGCAACCAAACTACATAAACCTATTATAATCATGAACATTACAGTAAGTAAAACAGCGACAACAAATACAATAAAGCACATAACGACAATCAGCAGCAATGGAAGAGTAAGTTTTATCTAAAGATAACTGCCACTGGCCATACAGTCACTCTGGCATGAAATGCCACCTGCCACAAGGTTTCGCTGGCGATGATTACCACTGTCAACAATTTTACCCTGGCGATGACTACCACTGTCAACAATTTTACCCTGGCGATGATAACCACTGTCAACAAGTTTACCCTGGCGATGACTACCACTGTCAACAATTTTACCCTGGCGATGACTACCACTGTCAACAATTTTACCCTGGCGATGACCACCACTGTCAACAATTTTACCCTGGCGATGACTACCACTGTCAACAATTTTACCCTGGCGATGATTTCCACTGTCAACAATTTTACCCTGGCGATGACTACCACTGTCAACGATTTTACCCTGGCGATGATTTCCACTGTCAACAAGTTTACCCTGGCGATAATTACAACTGGCAACAAGTTTACTCGGGCGATGACTACCACTGGCTGTTACTATATCTTAGAGATAATTACCACTGGCTGTTACTATATTATAATTACCACTGGCTGTTACTATCTTATAATTACCACGACCCACAAATTCCCTATAGCGACACCTACCACTTGCCGTTCCTTAACCCTAGATACATGACTAGTGTCCACAAGTTCACCATAACGATAACTACCGCTGACCGTTACTTTATTCTAGTGATATTGACCAGTTACCACAATTTCACCACAGCGATAACTACCGCTGGCAATAAGTTCACCATACAATGACTACTATTGTCTGTTACTTAATCCTAAAGATAAATACAGCGGCCCACAATTTCACACTATTGATAGCTACCACTGGCCGCTACTTCATTCTAGAGTTAATTACAAAGGCCCACATATCCATACTAGTGATAACTACCACTGGCCGTTACTTTACCCAACAGATAATAACCACGGCCTACTTATTCATCCTAGTGATTATGACCATGGTCTACATGTTCACCTTAGCGATATCAACCACCAGCCACAGAGATGCAAATGTTCAAAACGTTCTAACTGACTTCCAAGTCAAAACAACCAAAGAAAAGCAAACTAGGTCAACTGTTACCCGAACAAATGCATTACCGAAAATTTACCGCACAAATCACAAATTACCACAAAGTAAGCAAGGAAAACTGTCAACAATATCAGTTTATGTTTTCGAGAAATCGGGTTTCATCCTGTTCCACTTCAATAAAATTGTCTCATATCACTCGGCTGTATGATATAAAAATAAGCGTTCACTGAAGTTTTCATTATAGAAACTTTTTTAATTAATTCTGAACATAGTATTTTTCTTTTATTATGTTTTAATAAATGTTAGAAGCTTACCTCAGCCTGAGTAACCAGCAGGGACAACAATTATTACAGCTTTAACACCTTACACGTTCCTTGTAACGATATTCGGGTTGAACTAGGTCAGATGTCAATGATTCGTGACTCGAATAAAAAGTACTCTATTATCCACCATCCTATCTCGGAGAACATCTCTTATATAATTGCTTAGGTCACACCGAACGTATGGATTGACATTACTCTTTGTAAGATTGAGTAAGACTAAACTTAATATAATTGTTCGTTTATTTTTATTTCGAAACAAATGATTATTGTACTAGAATTACATTAAAGGAGTTTAAGCTTCTTGGAACCTCCTTTTCTATGGGCTATGCTCCTACAGGGATTTAGAGGAAACCCTTACTGAGGTTAATTGTACCTGATGTTTTCGTAAATTGTGGTTATCTTTGGTATTCTTCATGTAGCGTTCATCTTGAATTTAACTTGAAGTAGGTCCATCTAAATACTTTACATCTTATAAACTGAAAGGATAAAGAATATTTAACTGCTTGGCCTAAACTTATGAAAACCGGTCAGACGAGTATCTTGGTCACTGTACACTCAAACTGGTGTCTAAATTTACTCAACCGTGTAATGTACCGTGCCACATAGTGGAAGTGTTAAAATGCAAAAATACACGTGCAGAATGATAATGACAAGTTCGTCAATACATCCTGTCATACCACTTGATATTCTTTAGGTAAACACATTGCTTCCGGCTTATTATTGTCAAATTTAATCTATTGCACTCAAGGTACGGCTGAAGGAAATTGAGATGTCTCAGGCTATTGCATTGCTAATGCTAGGTCAAAGGCAACAACAGTTTACTATGCAGTTCCATGTGATTTTTTCCACCATATAACGTCTTGTTCGTCTTCTGAGAGACCCTAGAACGGTCGCTGACCGACTGCGAACAGGATGTCCGTGCGTTACGAAGCGGCGTCAAGACACGCCCGTTTGTCTTGCCACTCTGCGTAAGTAATTTGACTATGTAGCAACTTTTCAACAATAAGGAGCAATGTCTGTGTAGCTTTCTTCTTATAATTTATCCCTGCTTGGTGTCTTTACATCTCCGTTACGCTCAGAATATATTCACAAAGGGTCGTGTACTAGATTACATGAAATACGTTTACCAATGTAGGAAAACAACTTTGCCAAAGTCCTTTCAAAATTCAGTTATTTACGATGTCGGATCAACATGGACCTAATTTTTTTGATAAAACCCTTTCCACTGGGAGTGTCTGATAGAAGAACAAAGAGAACGTGTGGCTATGCAACTGTTTTATTACGTTACAAATTTACAGTTTTTGACAGCAGCAATTAATGTTTTCTCTAATAAATATTCCATGTGGTAGTATAAACTCCCGGTACAAGGTTAAGGCTATGGCAACCCTCGGGAACTGATAGTTTACCAGCATTTTCAACCATGCTTGTTACTTAAACATAATCACCCCAAATTCGAAGTAAGGAATTATCTATGTGAACATTAGATTGTTGATAAAGATAGCCGAACAAAATGAATATTTGCTTCACTATATCACTTTACTAGTGTTTATTCGATCAAAAGAACGAACATCTAAGAAAATTGTTCGAACACGAGGCTTAAAAGGAATGGTGTCCATCTATGCCGTAATAAGGTTACAGTGTTGTTTTGACAGAAGATGATGTATTCTTAAGGATCTCCTTACCACTGCAAAAACCTGTAACTAAGTATAAAAATCTGCTTTTTCTGGCTTGACAATACGTTTGATAAATCATTTCTGAAAAGAAAAACCATATCTTGCCGGACAAAATATTCAGCGGAGTTAGATCAGGATTTGAACACTGGATTCCAAATTGTTATAGTGCTATCTCTCTAACCGATTGAGCTATCTGATCAACAGAAATGACCTAGCCAAGCTGTGGTTCAGTTATATCAACCAGAAAAGTAAGGGGGGGGATGTTTATAGGAAAACTTAAACTTGAATTGTATGTACGACGTTCCAGAACGATTTCCTTTTGCCTAAATGTATTGATTTTCCGACGCTCATGTATTCGTGGCAATGTTTTCCATCCTGTTTTAAAAACGAAATTTTCTGCTAATGAAGGAAAGCTTTTCACAGTGATGATGCTGACTAGTTCTAAACTTTTTAAAAAGTATATCTGCAGCGGCGCTGGAACAGTCATTCCCCTGACAGTATGTACCTTTAACTGCATCTGTTTATGATTTGTTATTGTTGTTTGTAGTAAATAACATCTATAGATATATTTTACCTTCCTCTTAACACAACCATTCAATAACTTAAGTATCTCTTGCCTGAAAGTTAATAAGTTATACAGTTGTAGTGGTTAAAGCATTATTTAGAAATATGCTTTTGATATATACTGTTTATTTACAAGATGGAGCTATTTCAAAATTCTTCATTGAATGGATATTCTGGGTGGTCTTTGCACCTAAAAAATAGAAAGAATAAACAGTGAATACAACACAGATATCTTTAATATGTAATACTGCTTTTTAATTCTTTGTCAAACAATATTCTATGGACCCTGCGAAATATGACAAATGCACAGGTTATTTCAAAACTGAATAGAACAGCGAAACTTGAATAGTATGCCTTATTGTATATGTCTTTTGGTAATAATTGTGGAAATAAGGAGTTGAATTGGAGAAACTCATTTAAAATAATAAAAGTATCCGTTTCAATTTAAAAAATATATATTAGTCTTGTCAGTATAACGCCGTACCAGGTTCCTGCAGGTAGGGCGTAAGAATTGTACCAGCTGCCCCCATTGTATGATCGTCGCAGCCACGCATACACTACACACATGCATCTTGCACACAGGGGAGGTCGTCCTTAAATGACCATAGCTGTTGATAGGTCGTTAAACAATACTAAACCAAACCAAACTAAACGCCGTACCAATATTGTGACGTAAAATGATTAATGCTACAATTATGTATATATGATGATAACGCGGAAATGAACGGAACTTAACGATGTAACTATTAAGATTTTTAGAGAAATTAAGAACACTATGTATTTATCATTGTTTTAATCTAATTATGTTGATATGTCATACATAATTGAACAGCTATTAATATAAGAACAATTTTATTGATTAATTCCTTAACTGGGCATGGCACACCTGTTTAATTATTCACTATTAGTTAGAAGGAACGATAACTTCACCGAAAACGTTCATCTTTGTATGTCTAATAATTTGCGTGTTATCTATAATTTCATAAAAATGATAACATAAATCTAAATGATATTTTACCATGAAAAGCAGAAGCGACGCTCTCCATTATCAAGTTCGTCTATTCTTTTCATGTCCTCGTCGCTCAAAGAAAATGAGAAAATCTGTACAACATCACATTTCATGTTTAATGCATATCAATCCATTTTATCAATAAGCAAACATTTATTAATCAATAGAAATAAAGAAATACATACAATTTCCTCATCATTGTGAATATAAAGTTAATGATGAAGGAGGGTGATAGCTAAGGTTTAATAACATGTAGGTATGCTACTGTTGGCATTTACATGAAATGGCACCAATTGCATTAAACTCAATTCATTCATGTATTAATGTGTGCTCATAACTTCTGGTATTTGATAATTTCAGAAAGCACAGAAAGTTACCTCAATATTTTCTCTCATTCTTTGTGGGTTTTCGGATTTCGGAATTACAACAATACCCCTCTGTACCAGGTTGCGAAGAAGAATCTTTCAAAAAACAAATGTTAAGCAGCGCATCATGATACATTTACAAAATCTATAGATGATTATTCAGAAGGATATAAATAATATGTTATGCATACACCACATGTGTCACTGCTCCTTCTGCTAAGAAAACGTGAAACATTTTTATAATGTAATTCTATCATAACTTTAGTATTTTTCCTTTCTATGTTTATACTAGCTATACCACTCCCTTGTAGAGCACTCATAAAGCAATGAGAAACCATGTTGTCTAAAAGCGTTTGTATTGTTTTATTTTTTACTGCATAACACAAAGTCTATACTTATCATTTCTTGATTAAATTTTTGACAGATATATTTTGATATTTGACATTATTACATGTACGTTTTACGATAAAGATAAACAATATATTGACAGTTAAAAATACCACAATCTTTTTGAAAATAAAATGTCCAAATTTTATCAGAAATAAGGCCTCAGCTAGACACAGCTCAATTTGATAAAATGCATTAGAAATCGAAATCTAACTGATGTTTAACTGTCGGATTGAACAACCAAACGGAATAACGACACAAAATACTACTATGTATTGATTCAATGTGTTTTCGATGCGTTTATATGTAGTTCCCATTTCAATTACTGTTAACTTTTAGAAGAATAGGACTTCTAAGTGTCCAATATAGGAATGACATGTTTGTGTCCGGTATGATAAAATATGTTTTTTTTTGTGCTCAGTTTGATATAACAGGATTTATTTGTTTTCAAAATGATTTAACGCTGTGAGAGTAACCTACCTGTACTTTACATATGCATAATTTTTGAGGATAAAAAGAAATGAAACTGATATCATCACATCAATACTTAGCATAGGTTGATCAGAAGCCAAGTACAAAACTGTATGCAAGTCCATATCATGTATTGTTTTAGCAAAGTCACCACATGAATATAACTTATATCGATATATCCAAGATGTTTGTCGTGGCATCTAGTTTATATTTTATTAATACAGTACTTAGTATATAGTAGTGCAATTAAGTGTTAATCATTTTCTCATTTACTTGTTCATTTATTTTCTACTAACAAAGCCTGATTTATGTAGGTGAGAGGATACGGAAAATCTGCACCTGAGAGGGGAATTGTCCATGCATCAAATAGTTACACAATGTTTCTCCAAGCTCTTGCACATCTATTTTGAAAATTGACATTTACATAGCAAATGAAGCAACACATATAGTAGATTACCTTGCCATCTTACAAATTAAGCGAGTGAGTAATTGGAAAATAGTAAAAAGCAAGAAAACACATATATGCTTTATCAAATGTTGACTAGAGCAGCCTGTCAAAGTGTTTTGAGGTTAAGATACTCTTCCGTTAATTAAAGCTATAATTACAATTTGTCTAAAAATATATCAAGACGGAGTCACGTTTCAAAATGTTAGCTGCTTCTCCATCGTTTTCAAAAACTCATTCTCTTATCATTTTATGCCATGGTTTACCATCATTTCTCATCCATAACATAATTCATTTCTTCATCGTTGGTATAGTAAAAATACAGTTATTATATTTTTCATCATTATTTTAGTGAAACCAAATATACGTTACATATTTCTGTTTCTGAATTCCTGCAAATTTAATCCATGAAAGGCTGTCATAGAAAAGGGAGAGATAGATATTATGTTTTATATGTTTACTCACTTGTCCTGTTGTACGCTTATATTTCTGGGCCATGTCCATAACAACGGAATTCTCCACCACGTTATCAGCGGATTGTATCGTACTGTGAAATAGTAAATATCTACCAATTATTATGAGATACGTACCTAGCTGTTCCATAGAATAACGCTGTGTAAACTCGTTTCTAGTTTGGGAAGATTAAAATTGATAAAAAAATATTGTTGTATATGATAAACCTGATGTCATTTCACTCATTATTTTGTTTCATAAATTAGCCGCGACAGTAACTATGGTGTGTTCTATTGTGTTGTGTTCTATTGTGTTGTGTTCTATTGTGTTGTGTTCTATTGTGTTGTGTTTTATTGTGTTGTGTTCTATTGTGTTGTGTTCTATTTTACTTTAATATTGCCGATCCGTTAAAGTAGGGTGATCCAAGTGGAGAGAAGGCTTCAAGTTGGATATTTCTGGATTTACAAAATGCATGAAGTTTCTTCTGGGGAAATCTTGCATGAGCTTCAACCTGTGGTTAATACAACACAAGTAATACAACACAAGTAATGCAACATATGTAATTGTTCAAGTAATACAACATATGTAACTGTTCAAGTAATACAACATATGTAACTGTTCAAGTAATGCAACATATGTAATTGTTCAAGTAATGCAACATATGTAATTTTTCAAAGCTCATTACATATATATATCTAACAAAATAAGATTTGACATAACCTTTATCACAGTCATAAGTATAATACAATATTGCGATCCGTTCGCAACACTCAACCTCTCAATAACCACTCTGTAACTATATATGAAGAAAATCTTCACCAAAATGTTTAAGCTGCGTCTTGGTTTAATCATTTAAACACGATACATGGATACAGAAATGAATGTGACATATTACTCTTATCTCATTTAAAAACATAAGAACAGAATAAGAAATCAAATTCATACGAACTTTCACTTTATTATGACACAATACCTGATTAACGGCTGGCTTAATACGTGCGACCTCAAGAATGTAATCTAGTTGCTTGGCATTGAAGCTCGATACACCGATTGAACGGGCTTTGCCCTTATATACCGTTTCTTCCATAGCCTGTCATATTAAAATAATATACAGTTAGCGTCATTGTGATATTCCTATACAAAAGGCGTTAATGAATGACTATCTAAACAGTCCCTTTACCATATAATGATATTCGTTTTAACCAGTTAATGAACTAATTCTCTAAAATATCCAATGACAATGTTAAATTTACCAAAGTCTTTAAGTGTATTTTGAAGTTAAGCAATCTAAATATTGAATACTAAAATTACGCAATAAAGTGCATATGNCTCTTCAGGTTTGAAGAGCCCTGTGAAGGGTGAAAGCAGCTAGTTTTTTTAGTCGGTCGTTAATCTTATTTTTTCTATATTTACTTCCTTCGCATGGACATTTAATCCCTTTTTATTATATATATATATTCTAACAGTTCTTTGTTTAAAAATAGTTACCTTCCATGTTTCTCTCAAATCAACCTGTACTGTTTCCTCATGTCCTGGATGTTTCTCGGGGTAACTATCAAGATGCTGTATGATAACATAACAAATTTAAGTACGATCACAATTGATTTATTCATATAATGAAGAAATGACATTTGGAAAAAAAGTTAATCTAAAGATGAGATATTTATGCATGGATTTCGATAGTTCATTATTATTGCCAAAAGTGTCGTGGTCAAATTTGTGAGCACCAACATTTAGTGTGCATTTCTGATAATTTTATACTATCAAAAAATAACATTTAACCCCAAAAACTACTGTTAAAGGAAGCATCATTAGGCAATCAAATGCATTTTATTCTGTAGCTACACGCATCAAAGTTCAAATTAACAACACGAACCTGTCACAAACACTAATTAAATATTCCATCTTGTTATACCAACAATCAAATTTATTAACCTGTTATCAAAAAGATACTCAAACTTTAAGATGTGCATTCAAGATGTTTGTCAAACAAGGATGAAAATATCACTTTTACATGCATATGACCTTTTTAGTATCTAATAACCTAAATACCGAAGATTGAAAATGCATCAATATACTGACTCCAGCACATGCGCATACATTATACACATGGAGGCACGTCCTTAAATGGTCCTAGCTGTTTATAGCTCAATAAACATACTAATCAAAAAACGACCGTGGTATATATCCCTTCTTTACTCCAAATTTAGCAAAGATACAAGTCATTAACAAAATGACGTTCTAAGCCAGATAAACTATCTTCACATTCCGAAATCAGATAAATTGTCTTGGCCCCCATCAGTCAAATAATTTGTCTTAGCCGTCCTAAGTCAGTTCAATTGTTTTGGCCCCCATCAGTCAGATCATTTGTCTAAGCCGTCCTAAGTCATGTAAATTATCTTTGCCGTCCGTATTATGTTTGCTATATTGGCTTGGTGCTGTTGCATTTTGTGTAAGTATAAAATCACGTATCGTATGATAGACACTGTATTCAATTGTTATTCTAAACTGGTAGTTTCTGTCTGTTATAAGAACCTATAAGAGCATGCATAATCAGACAAAGTCATTTAAAATTCGTGAATCCTAAATATGAAATTTGACTTATAAATATGTCCGTCTCCATGTGAGGTTAACTCAAAAACATCCTTTCTACATATGTTTTTACTACTTCCATACCTTCATTGCGCATGGTATATGAATGAGAAAGAGATCAACATAATCCAGTCTTAACCTCCTCAGGCTTTCGTCTAACGCCGGTCCTACAGCACTCTCAGTCATGAAATTTGGTAACAACTGAAATAAGGAAGCATAGTAGTACTGTAGTTCTAAGCCATCACGTCTATCTTTACTAAACTTTTCTATTTGATACCAATCACCACTTCGATCTACTGCTTATGTAATTGGGCATGTCAATATCATGCAAGCCAACTATTCACCGAGTAATGATTAAGAAGTCTGTTTCTATCATATTGTCCGTATACGTACCTTTGTGGTGATAAACACTTCCTCCCGCCTCAGGTTGGTGGCTTCAAAATATTCCTGAAGTGCTTTCCCAATGGCTCTTTCGTTACCATAAATGAAAGCAGTATCTATATGACGGTACCCCATTTCCAGTGCTAGCTTTATACATACTTCTAACTTCTCATCAGGAATCTGAAAATATGCATATCAATTTTTCAATATAAAATGTATGGAAACAAAACGTAATAAAAGTGCAACAAATGTGTGATATATAAGATAATTTTAAAGTTTGTATTATATTGTTATTAATTAATTTATCTTCAATGTTTGATCTTAGATACAATTTATAGTTACAGAGTATCAAACCCATATTTGTCTGAAACTATTATAAAAAGTGTTCTCAATGAAAAAGTGAAACCAGAACATGTTGCAATACCACCACACTAAGGATAGATATTGAGAGGGTAACAGTATTTACTATTTACTTATTATATCAGGAAATACCAACATTACCCTTGATGTGCCAAGAGCTACTTGTGGGATTCGATGTTCATTGTTCAACATAATGTAATCTGCCATGTTCACTAGGTTAAAGGAAAAACTGCAATACAAATATGACTACATGAACATACTGATTAATACCTTTATAAATACAGCCGGTGAATCGGTGTCTGCTGTTAATATTACAAAATTCTATCAAATAGGTTCAAATGTAATATTATAAGATTTTAATACATACATTCCACTGTAATCAGATGGGTTTATCAAAAACATCAACGTATGCTTGTAGCTACAGTACGAAATTACATCAAGCCTTGACAGTATCGCAAACCATTGAGGTATGGGTAAAAGTGATACGAGTATATGATTATAATTGAACCACAGTGGTATGCGTCCTTCACTTTCAGTAGAATAATATGTCAGTACATCTTTTAAGGCAATCAGATGTATGTGAAATATGTCATATCACGCCCGCTGGCGGTGATTCGTGTCTGTAAATGTTAATGATAGTGTTTGTTTGATATTGGATAACACCATTAAAAAAAAGGGAAATTGAAATAAAAACGCAGTTCATTTGTAGGATATAACAGGTTAATTAGCCAGTTTCTTCACATATAAGGAATGGTGACATTAATAGGCAAAAAAGGGTGGAATAGACACGGAGGGCAAGACTTCTGTTATCGTTGAGATAATTTGTTCTGATGTGTGACGACAATAACAGTTTGTAAATACTTATAAAATAACACAACATATATTAGAGGAGAAAAGAGGTTAGTTTACCCGATGTAGATATGTAACACGAGATGACAGTTTTATACGATGGACCTAGGTTAAGGCTAATTATTTTTGATGAAGCAGATGACGGTTGACCTTCTGGAACTCCGTGTCATATCATCTTTGTACTGTTTATACTCTCTTTGTAAATCTTTTCATTTGTTCATACGTTGTCTTAGTTTTGATAAAGTGTTCTAATTTCGGTTTTGTTTTCGTTTTGTTATTCTTTTGTCTATTTCAAATATCTTTATATGTATTTAGGAGTTATTTTGTGTTTTTCGATGTGGTAACCATGGTTTTCACAAGTCCCAAATCTGGGGAAAACAGTTTGAAAAAATGCAGTCTTCTAAACAAAATGTATTCAAGATGTAGTTTATAAATATATGTATATATATGTAGGTGTGTTGTGGAGGTTGAATCCACTATCCATGTTTATATGAGACGTGCCCTTTATTTTTAGGATAAGGCCATTTCTACTGTACTCTGCTACCTAATGTTTAGCTACGGTGTACATGCCTGTTATGTTTACTCAAGCAATAAGTAAATTCTACATTTTAAGTTCACTCTCCATCTACATGGACCATTGCTCATAGAATATTATGTTAAAGGTTCTCGAGTTACTACAGGTCAACTGTTTGCCGCCGTGACCTACAGACCACTGCTCTTATTTGGGCTGACAGAAAATTGTCCATCTTCTATTCCTTTGACCTTTGTGTATATATATGTACATAAATGTGTATGATTAAAAAGATTCAAAGCCTGAAGAGCCCTGTAAAGGGTGAAAACTGCCAGTTTTAAAGTCGGTCGTTATATCTCATTTTTTATATTTATTTGTATATAAGTACGTTTCGGCGGTCTGCGTTATTATCACATTCAAATGTATATTGCTTGTTATACCCCAACATAACTCGGCTTAGTGGTATTAACACAAACATGTTTTTTGTCAATCTGTGTGATATTAACAGAAACATCGGTTGTGTCGTTAATGTTTGACATATCCTTAATTTTTACTAACTACGAACATAGCATCCATCTCTCATACATCAATTATTATAGTTGATTTAAACTTACCTCGGGCTGTAGAACGAGAATTGCTGGTATCAACAGTTACCACAGCCTCGGCTCATGACCTTTGAAACTGCAACGGTGTGCGGGTCGGACTAGGACTGCTGTCATTGATTCGTGACTCGGAATAAAGTACTCTACGAATAGCTATGCACCTAAGACAATGTTCATCTATCTCACTACAGACTGCAATTTAAATCATCGCTCAATTCCTCATATACATATCGTATGGCAGGACGTTACTATTATTTTAAGTCATTTTTAAAATATCACAATGTTACGGAAAAGACTACATGTCCTTATGTCATCATTTCCAAACAAATCATGATTGTACTTACACATAACATGCAGTTCAGGTTATCGCAATATCACTGCATTTGTTCATTAACATTAAATGATAATATCAGGTAAACATGTCAAATAACATATGAAGTATGCTTTAACAGAGCAAGACAAAATAAACCACAAATTCATTGAAAAAACAATGTTTGAAAAAGTTGCAGTTTACAGTGAACAACGACACGCCAATATGGTGCATTATCTTTTCTTTACTTCCTATTTCTAAAACGTATGTTAATGGTTATAATTCAACACACGATCATTTACGATGTTGTGACATCAATCTAAACAAGAGAGGAAAGAAGATAGTTGAGTTTATACCAATAAAATAATCGCTACGCTTTTGAAAAAAACATAAGGGCTAAGAAGACCAAATATACAAGAAATTATATATCAACAACTATTGCAGGAAATCCCCTTTTATCGGTGTTTCAAAACTTTATTTGTGTACTCCACATTACTGTCACCATAGCAACCACCCTTGCAACTCTCGTGTTACAAATTTCTTTCGTTAAATAGTATCATTTTTATAATAGATTTTTCAGCTCTCGCATATCACAAAAATGTAATTAACACATAACCGCAACAAAATAAATATTAAAATGAACATTTGATTCTGTGAGATGTTTTAAACACAATGTCTTATTAAATATTTAAGCATTTCTAAAGCGTTTCAACGTTTTAAACAATACAAATACATATTTTTCCCTACATAAATCACAGTTGTTGTAGCCTCCAATTGTCTTCATCCATAGCAGGAGTGTTTGTAAGGTCCATTCGTCTGTACACTACTGGCCACCGTAGAGACCAAGGACTGGTCATCTAACAAGGACCAATGATCGAAATCGGTAAATGAATTCCAAACTATTCCGAAAACATGTCATGAAAGACTGTTAAAGCACCAAAATAGGTGCAGTTCCATCTAAAATCTGTATTCGTCTTCCTTCTCCGAAGCAAACAAAGTATCAGGTCTCGATCACATTAAAATACATCACTGTATGCTGTTAGTCAACCAGTATTCAAATTTCTTTAAACTGCTGTTGAAACGGCAGGAGAAGTATTAAACAAATATTGTTTAATTTGAAATTATTTATGAGAATTACAAAAGAAAAATAATTGTTGCATAATATGAAGCCTTTTATGTTCGGGTATATTTTGGTACAATGTATAAACAAGCAAAACTTATAATGTTCAACGGGTACTTCAGAAAATATTTTATTGACTTGAAACATTGAAGTATAACAGGGACACTTCTTTTATCACAAGCACATGTATAGCTATCATGAAATGGCTTTAAAACACTTGGCTTCAATTGAAAAACAAATTATATGCAAACGTGTGCCGTCGCTGGGTACCTCTACGCGTGAAATAGTCATGTTTGTTATAATAAAATTACTCAAATATCTATTCCCTAGAGCAATTGAATACCTTATTTGTGCATTTAAAAATCAGCCAGAATTTGGACGATGACAAGAAAATAGGGGTATTGGGAGGATCGGGCTATTTAAGGCACAAACTTGATCTTTATTTATTTACGGACGTCATTAAATCTGGTGACAAAAATCTATCACATTTATGAGATCTTCTAGAATAAATTGTTCGTTACGTTTCGATGACTTGTATTTTCACCTTTAAACATAATGGTTGACTGATGTTAAATCTGATACTCTTACTTGAAACAATTATACAATCATTTTAGTTTTTATTATACAATTTATACCGACTGTTTTAAACTGTATAGGATCAAAACAGTTTATGTAAAATATCGTGTAACAGAAAGATACAATACCAGCTGACCTCAGCATACGTTATCAGTAGCAGCAGTATATTTGATTATTGCAGCTTCAACTCCCTATGGTTGTCAAAGAAACGAGAGGTAGGTTGTGCTTACCATGGTGTCAGGTCATAATGAATCAACTACAGTAGTGATATATGTTGATGAAAAATGCAGTTGTCTCGTCTCGGGTGTTAAAGATGACTATTTTAAAAGGTAAGAACGATATCAGCGTGTTAGTAGAAATGTGAGATACGGGTTTATTGGAACATATACAGACAAAATTTTGATTTGAAAATAAGGTCACCGAATCTTTATAGTTCCAATACACTTTCTGAAATTGAACCTTCAAAACTACGAAAACAAAATAATTAATCATGCCGGCGATACTACTATTGCTTAATTGAAATTACTACTTCCACAAAATGGAAGAATTTTCTGACGGTAAATGTATGTAACTTTCATGGATCTTGGAGGATCTTTTCGTGTTTAGATGATTTATCAAATTTAATGTTTTCTCCTTCTGAATAGTTTTTAGTTTGTCCTTATAACGTATCGTTGCTATCACAAGGTACAGTACAGGTGCGCTGGTATGATTACAGTAGTTGTGTTGTGTGTGAACATTTAAACGTAAACAAAACGTGTGTTTACTTGTATATGCACATGGCTTCCTTTATCACAGTCCATTGACGTTATCAGCGACCTCGTTGTACGTTCTACCACAGGCAGGTAGAGGGTAGCCATCAAAACACCAACCTGCAATCAATGTGCAGGTAAAACAGAAAGGACGATAGAGCCAAACTTCGTATTTAAAAAGTTGGAGCTACAAATAACAGGTATGCGACCATGATCAATCTGCATGTACAGTATTATAGATATGGAGCTGCACGAGTAAACAGACATATATGTACCCTATCTATAGAAATAAGATGAAGTTTTATCTACGAGCACAGGGGTATGTTATTAATTATAACGATACAAAATATGTATGTCGTGCAATATGCATAAATAGTTCATAAGTGTGCTATGAACTATTCAGGCATATATTCAGGTATGTCATTGTATAAACGGCCCGTATATGTACATGTGTGCCATGGTATGTGTGTATAAAGGTGTTTACATACGGGGGTATATACAGGTATATATATGTGTATATTTCTACATTATCACACTGTTTTCATGGTATATGTGTATACAGGTGTTTCATTCTATATACGGGTGTATATACATATTATCACACTGTTTTCATGGTTTGTCGTAAGATCAAATTTCTCATCACTTCCGGTGACCTTTATATTCATTCAACATGAACAAATAAGAGCAGCGATATTACAATTGTCGCGCCATCACAAACTATAAAATCTGTGTCATGATTATTTTTTTATCTATGTCCTACTACTATTTATAGCGCACCAATGACGAGATTTACGAGATCCCTCGTCACCGACAAATGAGAACCATTACAAGCTCCATAAATATTACCATGAAATACAAGGGAAATATAGAAATCAAAAAGTTTCAGTTATGCAAACCGACGCTTCAAACCATATTGTATTCAATAAAATATAAAACTTGAAATCGCGATCAGCTGGGTCTAGATGTTAAGAAAGTGTAATAGTCAACATTCTGGAAATAGCTTCACAGCGATAGGAAATCATAAATTGTGTATTACATAGAATATGTTCCCAAAGTCGTTTCTAACCTTGTTACCCATGTGTATACAATTTTGTCACCGTGCCCGTATAAAACCGCATCAAATGTCCAGTTGACATTGAATACTTCGTGTTATATATCAGGGCATACTTTGGAGTTCAAAAATTGATGAGAAATAAAATTTGGAAAGCATTTTTTTTTTTGTATATATATTTTTTAAAGGTAGGTAAGCAGTGATAGTCTATGGATTCATACTTGTTTGGCTGTAATTTCAAAGTATTTACATTGTGATGCAGCTCGTTTCGGTGGATTAAAGAATTGTTAGGCGAGAAATATGTGGCTACAATCATTTAGGCACCTTTCCTGTATTACAAAATTGAATCAGATTCAAAGCGATATTTACTTCTGCTGCTAGAGTCACTTATTTTTTGTGTGTGTTTCTTACAGTAACGGTTAATCTTATAAAGATGTAAGATCTAAAATAATAACGGACAGACAGTTAATGTCGCTTTCAAAAATTTAATGAGAATATTTGAGCATTGATATTTAAACGATGCGCGTCCAAACATATTAGTATAACTTCGTTAAGGAGTAGATATATCGAGGACGTGGAACCGCACATATTTGCTATGTTTACTGTGTTTTTGTATGGAAAACTATTGACTCACATACCTTTGCATCAGAGAGACAACGACAAATACATAAATAAACCTTGATTTGTTTAAAATATCAAGTTAATATGCTTTCCACATTCTGTATTTTATGTGCGTCAAAGCTAATACATAACGGTGTACCAATAGTTCAACAGGTTGACCCTTCCTCCTGGTAAATTAAACAAGATCTGGATATTCTAATAAGTGTCAGGGGCACTCAGGGATTGCCTGATCTCTTTTTTTATCTGCTATTGTGTTTTTTTTTTTATCTCTTACAGTACAGTGCGCATTGATATGGCGAAGGTATTATCACTAAGTAATGGAAAGAAGATCCCCCAAATAGGACTTGGGACATCAAGGGTATGTATTTGCTACGCTTAGCTGATGATTTTCCTATCAATTACGTAAGCTGCTATACAGGGCAATAGAACCATCACATCAGTTATACCATACGTAATATCACCTAATGTGACTTCACAATTAACGATATGATGGAGACAAAAGCCACAGTTATGGCAACAATTGCGGTGTTTTCCTATGACTTCTGGTCTAAATGTGCATTCGTACAGACCTTAGCTGAGGGGATGATGACAACTATCTCAATCATTGGTTTACATTTCATTTCAATGATATAAAAGGTCGATGAAAAGTGTTACATTTAAATCATATGCAATGGGACATAGTAACAAGTAAAACAATTTATACTGTGAATACCTTAATGCAACAAAGACATGGTAAAATGTTAACGTGGTGACAATAACAATGATAGAGGAGACCACAAAATAGAGAAGAAAAACACAATAGACCTACCCATCTCTCTCCGGAGCACCGCAATTTTACCTTAGGGTTTCATGATGTCTTTCCTTTTTTATGTGACTTCGTTCGATCTTTTTACTTTGTCGACGCACTTTCCTATACTTGTTTACATTCAATACTTTTTAGCAATATCATTTTTACGTTTTTTTAAATATATAACATCTCGTGATTTTTGTTGAATGTTAGATTCCAAAAGATATCTTAGAAGATACAGTATGCCTGGCAATTGAGAAAGGGTATCGCCATTTTGACACAGCGTTTGCTTACTACAACGAAGTTGAAATAGGAAATGCACTCAAACGGAAGTTTGAAGACGGGACGGTGAAAAGGGATGAGTTGTTTGTTACATCAAAGGTAATTAATAGAATTGTTCTAATTTATTAATAAACAAAATATGAAGATAATAAAGATTTATCTAGCATGTTTATTACACCGCTAATTAATTTCTCGTAGTATGATTATCTGCGACAAAAACACTTTCAGAATGAAAAGATACAAAGATAACTAGAACGATGAGACCCGGCTGTGTGTGTTTAATATATGCGCGACGTTGATTACTCTTCAGTACTCAAGTTTAATTATTGATCTTTTAAGTATCTATAGCTGCCCTACCTGTTTTTAACATGGTTGATGGTTGGTATTTTAAAATAAATGTATCATTCATTAAAAGTTCATCTTGCTTATCGTTGAAATTTTGAAAACAAATGCAGTCTGGACATCGTCTGGGCGACAATTGTTTGCTGAACATTGACCATATGTATTGGTTATTTTTACTGGATGCCTTCCTAGATACGTTAATGCATGGAAGTTACCAAACAAATGCAAAAACCTACCTAATAACATGTATGTTTTTACACTATGATTTTTTCACTTTCTGTAACGAGACCTGGTGTTCGAATGAACCTCCTATTATGTGTGTTTTTCCGCAGCTGAGTAGCCAGTACCAGGCGGAGGAGGACGTGTGTCCCGCCTGTACCGAGAGTCTCCGCCGGCTCCAACTCGACTACGTTGATTTGTTTCTCATCCACTCGCCACTTTCTCTCAAGGTCTGGTATCTATTTCTCAAACAGCGTTCAACAATATTAATATAAATACGCCCCTAATCTTTCAAAACATATTCAACACGGAATCAATGGATTTCTTAATGTCTGTACGAACACTTTGAACCTCTAACCAGGCAGCAAAATACTTGGACAGGTTGTTCAAAGACAGAAGGATACAATCATTTAATAGTTGAATTTATTGATAGGTTATAAGAAAACTCTCTTAAATATACTGATTTCAAATCAGCAATAAGTCAACACAGAAGTAACAATTCGATGAGGTCATTTGTTGAAATAAAATGAATGGCATTGAACGGGTTTTCCATCATTATTTGCAACACCTTTTTCAGAACCCAGGATATTTTGCCACAAAACCTGTTGACACAGCTTATCTGGAACGGGACTTGAAGTTAACCTGGCGGGTATGTTACTTTATACTTATATTCAATGCAAAGTGACTACGGGGAGATGAGAAAAGGTAGGACTATGTCTCCCCATAGTCCTGATTGTTTTCTTTTTCGTTCTATCGAAGATCTTATTGATATTTCAATATGAAAGGCTAACACAGAGACTTATGGAACTATGACACTCTTGAGAGATTTGTTGTTAAGTTGTATAAAGAGGTCATTTGGCAAATGATGCCGAATAATAACTGTTCGACTTGTTCTATGTGTAGAACATTAAGTGGAAAGGTTTTAAATTACTTTTTCTTATTTTAACAGCATTGTGAACTTTCAAAGTGACCGTCATATTTAAGTCAAGTTAGACTAACCCCGACTTGGTCTGGTACATTGTTACTTTATGCCATCACGCAAATTATCCTCGACTGTGTTGGTTTGGTTAGTGCCAGTTTTTTGTCCTTATGCAAGGCTAACCTTGGTTTTATTGGCCTGATAAATTGCTTTTCTACTGTCGTTATGCGAGGTTATCTTTGGCTAAAAGAGAGGCAAATGTTAGCTTCTATTTTCAAGCAATTCTTGAGACATTCTAATTACTCAACATGTGATTTTGTACTATTTTGGTGCTACTGGTTACCACGTGGTCAGCATGAGAGTATGCTATAAAAGTGACTTGTAAATATTCGGCTAGGTGTTAAATCAGTAAGGAATACAAATCCTTTTGAATGTAGAAATATATACCTCTCAAACTATTGTTCCTTTTTTGCCATTTTATATGTATATATGGTATGGAGTCTAAGGTGATGTTTAATAGCTTTGACTGTAAATCGATTATGACCTAATTGTGAAAATCCAATTTTAAATGTGAAACGCTACATTGTAGAAACCTAAGTAATATAGCGTTATAGTAAAGAAAACGTTAAACGAATTGATGTATGCTGCTTTCTAATTCCGAAAACAGATCTTAACAACATAACCCTGAAGGTTTATTGACGTTCCTTCCTCGTGATGAATTTGACTTCTCTGACTTTTCCCATCCATACAGTGTGAAATATGTTCTTAATCATTTTCAGGCGATGGAGGAATTGGTGTTTTCGGGAAAGGCTAAATCAATAGGTCTGTCAAATTTCAATTCACAGCAAATTGATTACATCTCTCAAGGGGCAAGGATCAAGCCAGTTATGAATCAAGTAATATTTCAGTTTATTTGTTGAGTTTCTACAAGGTTTTTGTTTTGTATGTACTATTTTTAATATCTTGAACATTTTAGAACGTGTATTCGATTTAGCCTTTGGAACTTCTTAACAGCTCGGAATTATCTTTCTTTTCAAACATGCATGTACAGAACTGTTGTCTTTTAACTTCAGCCTTTAAACGTGTGTCTGTATTTTTATAAAGATGCACATGGCAAATAGTCAAATTATTTATCTCAAGAATGAATGTTTTTATTTCCCAATAATATCGTTTTGATGACATGAAGGATTGTGGTATTATTTCTGTGTTTAATATTGGGCGCATTTTTTTAATTAGACCATTCTTGCTATCCTTGTTAAATACAAGCAAACAATAACATTTTTGGATGTAAATATACATAACGATACGTGCATTTGATACGTGATGTATGTCTTATTTGTTTAAGGTCGAGCTTAACATCCGTTTTCCACAGTATCAACTTGAGCGGTTCTGTGCAGAACGAGGCATCCTTCTAACGGCGTACGCTCCTATGGGAGCACCCGGTCATCCCAAACTGCTGTAATACACATACCTGTCGCTGAACGAAACATTTTATATTAAGAGAAATTCTTACATGCAAGGCATAATACTTCATGATAATAAGAGGCATATATATTAAGCTACCAAACAGGCCGGAGTTTTCATCTGTATCCGTAATCCATGAAATTTCATCTGTTATGGTTTCTACTTTGCTTATTAATTGTCTTTATTTACTGATGTCATAAAACGCCCAGAGATACAAAGCACCATTCCCTTCACAGTTCAGTTGTTTTTCTCTTCAGTTACACAAACCAACATGTTTTCCACAGTTACGTAAAGAAAATCTATTGTTCTAACAGTATCATAAGGCAACAACCTCTTCACAGCTAAGTGTTTTGTCTTACCATTACAATCAATATCCTCGAAGTGGAACGTACTTCCTTGATAGAAACATGCTTTAATTTCCTCTTGATAACATCAGGAATTCGTACTTAGTATTTCAATCTTGTTTAGTTACGCACGACAAAAACCCCACTTAATATTTTATAACATTTTTTTCGTCATTGTGATATTTTCATGTCGTAGAAATACCAAGGATAAAGTACCGTTACTTATGGATCCTAACATCATCAAATTAGCAGAAAAATATGGGAAGAACCAAGGTCAGGTGAGCGTTAATAAAATATAAAAGCTTCTAATCTATTAACTACAAATTTACCAATCTTACCACAAAAAACTGTCGTTAATGTTTTGTGATAATATTTTTTCGTATTTAAGCTTTCAGGTAAAAAAAAATCATATACGTCAGCGTTATTACTAAAGCATACATTCTATTTCAGATTTTACTCAAAAGTCTGGTAGAAAGGAATGTAGTCCTGATTCCTATGTCGACAAATCCTGACCGACTAACTTCTAATTTACAGGTAAGACTGGTGTTTGACTGTGGCCAATTTGGCATTATATATGTTGATTCATTATTAGGTTAAAAGTTCATGAGATCAAACGCCTCATTAAAACACTATTACAGTTGTTACAAAGCCTGTCGCATAACCATTTGGATCGAATTTGGAAATCCAGATCTTTTCAAACATTGTTTTTAATATTTTGAAATTTATCCGTCGAATCCTGAAGAAAAGCTTCAACATATTGTCATCAATTTTATTATCGACTGCGTCAAATCTTATTGCATGTTTACATTAATCATGAAATCTATTTGATTTAAAGTTTGACTTGAATAGATCGTTACCAAAATTAGAATGTTCCTATTATGAGGTGGGTCCATTGTGTTTTGTACTGAAACTGATACCGTTATTGGCACCTAAAGAGTTTGTTTAGTTATATGGTATATTTTTCCCAACAGCATTATTCATTTTTCTCTTTTGTTGGATACGGAGTCTCCTACCACTCATTATGCCTTCAGTACATATTTGTCGTTGGTGAGTCATGATTTACGGTAAAAATTAAGAATATTTTAAATTCTTTTTGCAGCTGTATGATTTCGAGCTAAGCAAGGAAGACTCCAAACTTATTGCTGGTTTAGAAGATGGTATACGGCACTTCCGGCGTCCCACGTATGTTATAATTTTATTTTAAAATCTTAACCTTGATAATGCTTTTCATGCTAAGGATGTTATGATAAGAAGTAAAAAATATGTTCAAATTTGAAATAGTTTCCACATGAATGCAAAGAGGTTTTAATTCTTTATCACATACCTGTTGAATCTTGTTATAGTAATACAAGCAATTTTCAGACCATGAAATACAACGTTCTGTATTGCACATTGCAATACGGAATGTTGTAATTACCTACTAGCCGGAACTACTTTTTGTGGGAACCCCTTTGTCATGGCAAACTGAAAAGTTCCTGGTATTTGCAAAAAATATCAGAGTTTATCAAATCTTTGTATCGATCTCTGCAAAATACGGAAGGTATGTGATAAAAGAAACGAATTAGAAAACACGAGTTTATTGCGCGGACGAATATATTCACTCGTGCGCGGATGCATATTTATGCCATTGCACTGGATCACATCAGGTATTGTACACATTTTATTCACCTTGTAATAAGGTATCCGTGTTTTACATATTGCTATGATCTGTTTTACTCTTTGATTGTCTTTTTTTCAGGCGTGAAGATCACCCGGATTATCCTTTCCTAATATCTTTTTAATGTTGTTCCTTGATAAAGCATGCCAAAATTCCCTTAACATACAAAGACACTATCTTTAACAAGTTTTATATAAAGTAAAATCTATATATCTTTGCTTTCATGCCTTTTTAAAGAAAAAAGTACACATATGTATATAAATAAATGAAAAATAAAACATAGTTTCATGAATATAAATAAAATGAATATATGATATAGTTTTCTGTTATTGAATGTTCTCTTGGGTGCATATTTGGAATATTTACTAAATATATATTATTTCGAATAATTTTATCAAATAACTTCTTGTAAAGTTTCTCTACTAATTAAAAACATTGAATTTCTATAATACACGATAGAAGATGATTGCAAAAGAAAGTGCATACAATACAATATAAAAACTTCAAAAGAACAGAATATTTTGTATTTAAATATTATAGTTTTATTCAAATATGGTGATTATAAATGCACATTTATCACGCTCTAGTGAAGTTCTGTCATTCAGAATACGTGCTGAAAAAAAGATAAACAAATTCATTTACGAACGTTTTACACATTTTTTAAAATCTACAAATATTTTAGATGAGACCAACTAAACAAAACATATCCCCCTCTGACTATAGGGTGAAGTCGCATGTTCCCACTTAACAATCTGGTCTATGGTTTTCAACTATTTCAATTACTAGATTTAATATATATATAACATATATAAATATGTGTGATATTAATTGTGTCACCTTGGCACACACGACCGCCTGCCGTCGCCGAGGTAACCTGGCATACAAACACAACTGGGTATTCCGTCCACCAAACCACACATTCCGTGCGTGTGACATTCAATGTTTATTTCAGTCCGTCTAAATCGGGCTAGTCCATTTATATGCTTACAGGTCATACTCTCACTACAATCGTCTGTTGCATACGTACCACCAATCTAATAGGTAAATATATCATAATCATAAAGACATAATGGCATTGTGTAAATGCATAAGATTTGCTCATGTATTTTATATTGTGTTGGATTTTTTTCACATATGCATTTCAAAACATTAGACTAAGACTTAATAACGAATACAAAAAATGTGCCTTTAATTCTCTGCTGTTCAAAATGTTGACTCAAACATTTCCCTAAAAAGTTCAAAACAAAAAGAAATATAAAATAAATCCTAAAATGATTATTTGACGAAACCACCCCTTTATAGCAATAAGTATAAATAATTGCTTGATTTATATAAAATACATTATTGTATCTGTGCTATAATGCCTCAAGCAAAACAGGAAAACTGTAAATACACTCACTGGAACATAAGTATCTACGGGACAAAAGCAACCACAGAGGTCTGGTTTGACGCAGTTGTCCCCATTTAGGATATAGCCGGGCAGACACTCGCACCCCTCAGATGTGGGAAGGTCACATGTCTGGTTAAGGTGTGTGCATGTGGCCGGACACCCACTCACCGTCTCTGAATACCGCATATTTTCTTTACACGTCAGGGCTACGGAAATACCAAAGATACAGGTTCAACAAGCCAGTGGTAAAGTTTGTCATTGCTTTCAAGAAAAGTTATTCTAGTAGGGTTACACTTAAGAGAGACAATTACAAATTACATTTAAGTTTGATGATTTAAACCAAAATCTTTCAAAGCTCTAACTATGGTTTATACTTAATCAAATTCTTTTAATTCTTCTTGGGATGAAATAGTTAGTTTAAATATAGCGGAATGTTTCTAATACAAAAAAAAGAGTAAGTTCACCATTTGAATTGTTTCCGTTTACTCACAACAAAACGTCGATGTTCTGTATTTTATCGTGAATCCTCTCTGACTGCATTCCTGGGCGAATTCTGCCATATACGTCCTTATGATCAGATCCACCTTCAGGTGAAAGTCGATGTAACTACATACATCTCGGACGCAGGCTTGGTACACACGTCTTGCTAGGTATGGGTAGAACACCATGCACTTACGGAACGGACTTTCAACCCTGGAAATGTCCAGCAGCCCGCACATACTTGTTTGAGAAGCGGCTATCTTTCTTTCCTCGCTACACAAAATTTCAGGAACGGAAATTGTGCAATCCCTAAAAACACAATTGGGACAATGAGATCACGAGGAATGTGTGTAACAAAACTATAATACAATTTACTCCACTATTAGGAGTTTTATAGAAATAAGGATAAATTAAATAAAAACCTAAACTATCTACTAAGTTATGAACCCATCATTAATTGAACATGTAACGTTTACTTTAAAAGTCTTATCTGGAATGTCAATAAAACAAACATTCCAGGCATTGCACAACGACATCCAATACTCACCTTTGAATGGGAATAACTCCAGGTCGATGGGTCTCTTGAACCATGTAACTACTAGCTATGAGTGCATCTCTTTTCCCTGCCGGATAGCTCGCCACGTTCTTTCCGTCTGAGGTGGTGAGGTCGTCATGTTCCAGTCCGTTGCAGTTGCCACATACACCTGTGAGATGCCCGTGGTATTTTGATGGAACCCTCACGACCACGGCACCGCTACCATTCCACCATACTACCAGGCCACACTTCGTCCATACTACTAGCCACAGGCCAGACATATACACCCTCACTTTACCGTCAGCGAAGAAGTTTGGAGTGTAACGCAGATAGCTATTCACCTGAAACGATTTCTGGATCATATTCATGTTTTCATTTTACATAAGATTGTTTTTCTAAACTAGTATGTATACCTTTTAAATAGTTCGCCTTGACATATTTTAAGAACTTTTGAAGCATTGAGCTTTAAATTAATCTTAACAATAGTTCATCGAAAAAAATATATTTAATATTTATTGAAATGCAATTTTGAAAATACAATTCTCAAGTATTAAATAAATCAAACTTTATATATAACAATATTTTATTGATATAAGGACAGTAAACACTGACTGAATACATGGCTATCGTGAACCTGTGTTAACGTCACTGACTTACGTAGAGCTTATATTCTCCACCAAGTTTTATCTTCGTGTCATAAATATGTATATCGACCGATTTCACCCATGTGGACGAATTCAACCCGAGCTGATGACTGTTGTTTATTTCCACGTTGAATGCGCATGCATCAGACGGTATGGTTGACTTTGTGAGAGTATATCGACATATCCCGTCAATATCTATACTCTGTCCGTCGTGTGTGCGCACGTGAGGGTCCCCGGACGCAGTGCATACGCATCTTCCTATCAATGATATAACCGGAGGTCTGGCATTAATAATATAATATGAAGCAACCAGGCGTCTTACACATATATATATTACCAATTTATATACATTATGTTATTATATTTACATTTGCATGGCATTGTCACTATATAGCCTCTTTGAAAGCTGTGTCGTTGATGGGACTTTAATTACCATGCAGCACGAGACACAATTCTTAGCGTATTAATACAACACTGCATCGGTCGTCTGATATACAAAGGTACTTTACTCGGCGTTTGACATTTATATCGGATCATTTTTTGTTACACTTGTATTGAATTTGTTTATTCCTGTTTACATGTCTCAGCATCCCTTTAAACTTCATAATCCATTTGGTACCAATAAGTATAGATAATAATCTACCTCCTCCACCCCTGAAAAGGGATGACCTAAGAGAAGGAATCAGAATATACTATGAACGTTTCAGTGATAATTCTAATCTCAGGAAATACACCAATATTAGTATGTGTGTAGCAAGTTGCAAACATCTATGAAACTTTACTTTTGCATTCCACTTCACCGTCACCATAGTAACCTCCCTTGCAAACGCACCGTCCCTCGTCACAAATAGCATTTTCAGCACACTTCTTTCCCCGACAATATCCTTTAGCTACATAAAAAAACATTAAAGAATTATGACAATAAATACATGATAAGTATAAAAAAGAAAATACTCATTTTATGATTTTTATGTATATTATACTTCCGCAAAATTATTTTTATTACGCTGAATTATTTTTTATGGCCGAATGAACATTATTTATTTGAACAACCTCTTCACTGGAATTGAACTCATAAATGTTGTTACCTTTTCATAAATATATGTACGTATACTGTTTAAACACATACGATCACAGTAGTTGTATCCGTCCCCATAGTAACCATGTCTACATCCACACCGGAAGTTCTCACATGTCCCGTACTCTGCACACTTCCGGCCACCACAAAGACCAATGGCTGCGCATGCAACAAAAACAATGATCGGAATCGGAAAAATAGTGCCTGTCTTTTTCAAAGAAACACACATCACGAAATAATGTGAGAAGTATCAAAACTTATGTCCAATACGACTTTCCTTCAATATTTGTTTCAAAACTGCAGACTTATGTTATAAAATGGTATGAAAATAATCACTTTTAATGTACAACATCACGATTGCTGTATTCAACGATACAATTTTATTTTATAAACATACAGAGATTGTGACTTACATTCGAGAGATTCAAACAAGGCCTGCTCGTTTTGCATTAAACAGGCAGCCAAAACAGGTTAATCGGAGGGACGAGTCTTTCCCTATATCGGTCTAAATGCCGTATCAAGCTTAACGTGTTTATTGTTATGAGTAGCCTCATCTTCGCAAAGTGCTCCCTGTTTGTTACTTGTCAATACTTGTTCATATAACCGTGATTAGCTCATTTGCTATATATCAACATTGCGACATCTATAGTTGCACTTTTCTCATAGAATAATGGTTTGTAAATGCGAGTTTGTATACATATAAACATCCGAATAACATACCTGTATACATTTCTTATTTTCTCTGTTTGTTTGTTTGGTGCCAATCGTTTTTCATTAGGATATATCAGTTTTTGATTTGTTTTTGTCAATGACGTTTCTTTTTCTGTTATAAAAAATCAATTTTCTTTTTTCTAGTTAAAATATACATATAGGACTAAAACATAGATGTTCCTTTTGGTCACGGTGTTTGAAATTCAAATCTATTTGGCAATCTAAACATGTTTTAGAAAAATTGATTACTGCATGCTATATATGATCTTCGTTTGTCTGGATTTTTATTTCAAAATGATAACTGTGTAAAATGTATCAATCAATAGCTCTGAAATGTTCGTTAAGATAACTAATTAAATTTATATCGCTTTTATCCATATCAAATCCTAACAAAAACGCATACTACACCACCACAAAGTTAGTTTGAAACACGTAACTTGCAAATGAGTACAAATGTTATACATACGTTCACATTTCAAGTATCCGTTTCCATGGAAACCTTCCTGACAGGTACACCTCTCGTTGGAACAAAATGCATTTTCTACACATAAACGACCATTGCAGAAAGCTGGAAATCAACAAATATGTAATATCTAAGTAACTCGATACATCATAGCATCATGTCAAGTAACATTTATTGATTAAAAGCATGTGCACGTGAAAACTATTCTTTAGATTTTGAATTTTATAAACCAATATATTTGCATTTAAGTTGATGCATTTGCTTATATAACTACTTTGTGTATATATGCACAGTCATACAGAAATATACAACATACATTAGTCACCGCTATAAACAACTCTAGATCATTATGCTCCCTGATATTGAACATTAAATTAATCGACACTTTCAAAATACTTACGATTACATTTTTTGTATCCATTTCCAAAATAGCCCTTTTCACATAAGCACATATAATTATTACAGTGAGCGTTGGTAGCACAGGGTAGGCCATTACATACTCCCTCGGCTGTAAAACAAACACAACGTCAGGTGTTACTCAGTTTGACAAAGCTAAGGAATCAATTCCTTTTTGTCACTTCGAACGCAATTTTGATGCAATTCTGTCTTAGATAAGGAAAATGCCTTTTGATAAAAGTTTACACCAATATGGTGATGGACGGTTTTTGATTCCTTAAAACTCGTTGATATTATTGAAAGAAATGAGACACAAATAAAAACGAAGTGATCGCTGTTCACTAAGACGCACTCCTGAAACGATCTTTTGTCGCGAGGATAACGTCATTTGTGACACACTGTTTGCATATGACGTTTCAAATATCCTTGACCTTGGGCAAGCTTGAAGTTCTAGCAAAATAGCGGTTATCGGATCCAAAATTAAAATCCTGACAATCATTGCAATTATTCGTCTGTTGGCCCTCTGCCGTGGAATTGACCTTTCAAATACGGACCTGGGAATGGTACGAGACACACTTTCTCTTCACAATACAACTATTCACGACATTCCATTAAGGAATAATAGTTACCTATTGAGAATATATGGGATGGACAATCATTGCGGTGATTGAACATTTGAACCTTATATTAACCTTAATCTCAATGGTAAGAATCTTGGTTTTGCCTGCAACGGACCAACTAGCTTTGATAAAGGTACCTGATGTACAAGTCATTTAAATATTTTCAATCTTTTCATAAGTAGTGACCAAGAAATACACTGCAGCGATGTGACATTTTGACATTGTATTTATCCTTTTCCATGTAGAGTATAACCATTTGCGTAAGCGCCTCGTCATCTTGCCATAAAACACGTGACATATCTATGAAGAATTATGAGTAAATCAGTTACTCGGAAATTACGGCCAGAACAAGAACCACAGGAATAGACAGATTAACTGATGCTTCCCCTATGCATCTATGAGTTGTAATGAAATGTAATATAAAGTGCCATTTAAGATAACCGTTCACAGATTTATTATATACTGATATTATATTTTGACACTGGTATTTTTATTAGACACGTACGTTCACATTTCAAAAATCCGTTTCCATGGTATCCCTCTACACAGTAACACGTATCCTGTCTACATTCCGCATGTTGGACACATATGCGTCCACCGCAAAGTGCTGAAATGGAAACAAACGGGTTTCAATATTGGCTGAACAGCAACATAAATATTCTACGCAGTCCTGTAATTCATGAAGTATATTAACACGGCATCCTTCAACTGCATTTCCACTGTAAATAGATATGATTAAAAACGTATTTTACAATGATTTTTTAAGCGTTATAATTATTGTTGCTGTTGACTTGCATCATATCACTTGGCTTGTTGGTCAGCGCATATACATGATTTAACAATATTCACACTTAGTTATCCAGTCTCCTACATACAAACATTTACATACAGTAATCCTGTCTCCAATATACAATCCTCAAGAATAGCACCACACCTCTTGCATGTAAGATATTGAAACTTAGTAATCATGCCTCTATTGTATTAGTCTTCACGTCCTCCAACCTACAAACCAAGCAATCCTTTCCCCAGTTTTTCAATTTTCACATGAAGATATCCCGTCTCCTATATGCCAACCTTTCACACATAGTAATTCTGTCTCCTATATGCCAAACTTTCACACATAGTAATTCTGTCTCCTATATACCAACCTTCTAACTAAGTCATTCCGTCTCATATACACCAACCTTCACATTCAGTAATTCCGTCTCCTATATACCAATCTTCACATTCAGTAATTCCGTCTACTATATAGTAACCTTCACACTTAGTAATTCCGTCTACTATATACTAACCTCCACACTTAATAATTCCGTCTACTATATACCAACCTTCTCATTCATTAATTCCGTCTACTATATACCAACCTTCACACTTAGTAATTCCATCTACTAGATAATAACCTTCACACTAAGTAATTCCGTCTACTATATCCCAACCTTCACATTCAGTATCCTGTCTCCTCCATACCAACCTTCACAATCAGTTATTCCGTCTCCTATATACCAACCTTCACATTCAGTATCCCGTCTCCTCCATACCAACCTTCACACTCAGTAATTCTGTCTCCTACATCCCAACCTTCATACTCAGTATCCCGTCTCCTATATACCAACCTTCACACTTAGTAATTTCGTCTCCTATACAACAACCTTCACACTTTGTGATTTTGTCTATTAAATACCAACCTTCTAACTAAGTCATCCCGTCTCCTATACACCAACCTTCACATTCAGTTATTTCGTCTCCTATAAACCAAACTTCACATTCAGTATTCCCCTCTACGAGATACCGACCTTCACACTTAGAAATCTAATCACCTTTATACCAACCTTCACACTTAGTAATCTTTTCTCCGATATACCAACCTTCACACTTAGTAATCTTTTCTCCGATATGCCAACCTTCACTTAGTAATCCCCTCTACGATATACCAACCTTCATACTTAGTTATTCCGTCTCCTACATCCCAACCTTCATACTCAGTATCCCGTCTCCTATATACCAACCTTCACACTTAGTAATTTCGTCTCCTATACAACAACCTTCACACTTTGTGATTTTGTCTATTAAATACCAACCATCTAACTAAGTCATCCCGTCTCCTATACACCAACCTTCACATTCAGTTATTTCGTCTCCTATAAACCAAACTTCACACTCAGTATTCCCCTCTACGAGATACCAACCTTCACACTTAGAAATCCAATCACCTTTATACCAACCTTCACACTTAGTAATCTTTTCTCCGATATACCAACCTTCACACTTAGTAATCCCCTCTACGATATACCAACCTTCACACTTAGTTATTCCGTCTCCCAGATATCCCTGTTTACAGCGACAAACGTAATTGGAACACTCGGCATTGGCAGCGCATTGTTTCCCACCACAATACTCTACAGCTGGCAAGGCGAACATGATAATGACATAATTTACTTTTTATATTCATATGGCGAATCATGTAAACATCATGACTTAATTTTACAAGGGCAATATATTTCAATAAAAGAAAGAAAATGTATTTGCTGAAAAATGAGAGAAGGATTGCAAATATTAATGATAATAAAAAGCAATGATTATAAAATAAGCTTTCTCTTTAACCTAGATTTTTTTTCTTTTTCTATTGTTTTCCATTGATGGAAATATTATTTTAGTGCCATCTTACACGAGATTGCACGCTTAAAAGCCTGACAACATACATTCACATTTCTGGTAGCCATTTCCATGGTAGCCCTCCTTACACATGCAGCTCCCTTGGGAGCAATATGCGAAAGCACAGCATTTTCTTCCATTACAAAGGGCTGGAATATAAGAAAATATGTTTGGTACATTTATCATCATTATCCAGCAAAATACTTCAGCTGCAATGGTGTCAAAGCGTTCAGAAAATATTATTTGAAAGACAGTTAAAAGACATTAGTTCAGTAGAACGTTATTAATCAGGGATATGCTATACAGATAGATACACATTTCATACTTGGTAATACACTCCTTGAAATTCAAACAATTTTTTTTTTTTTTTATTATATTTTCAAAATGTTATGACATAAACATACATATAAATATACATACAATGTACGTGAGCATCTAGAATCGCCTTTAAATAATAATATACTGTTCAAAATATTCTATCAAGTGTCAGTATTCGTCTTACATTATATATTAACAAATAAGTAAAGGTTCACATTCTGACATAAAAAATAAACTTCCGGATATTCTTGTCCATACTCTATTCTAATTAAAATTGTATTATAATCCAGTGTCTGATTTCCGGTTAGAGTCACGGTGGTGAACAGACTTCGATTCGCACAAACGTTATTATATGGTAAATATTAGTATATGAAATGCTTCGTATGGTATAACATCATCCAATTCAGCGAATTAAAGTGCCATGTTAGCGTTGTAGTTCTAGAGTAAGTGTTGATAATAGTCAGGCTATAATCTATTAAACAAAAACATTTTTCTTTTCCGACCCCCCCCCCCAAAAAAAACCAACACCAGGCTTCAATATGCCTAGGTGCTAGTTAATATACCTTGCAATAATTTATAGTTCTGAATTAGTATACGTGTAGATTTTGTATCTCTTATTGAGTTTGATTTTGTAAATACTTTTAAGTTTTCTAATAATACATGTTTAAACATTNAAAAACATTTTTGACATATACTTGATGTCTAATTTAGTAAGATAGTATCTACCTATAGAGTTCCAGTTCTCATTTTTAGAGTGGATTATCATATATATAGTTTTGATTTGTTTACTTTGTACATATGTTTCAAGATCTACCATTCCCATACCTCCTTTTTTATTTTACTACAACACATTTTTCTTTCCAGTTGATTTACTTTTCCATCCCAGATGTAATCCCAAATTATCTTGTTAATTTCTTTTAGATATTTACATGGTATGCCCCTCGCTTCTATTTCATATCCTATAATAGATATTATTAGTGATTTAATGATTTAAGTTTTCCCGCTAAATGTTAAGTTTCTGGTTTTCCAAATTTGCAGACAGTGTTTTATTTTGTTAATTTTTCTTACCAAATTTTGTCATTATCTATCATATATCCATGATGAATTCCTAGAGTTTTCACATTTGTTTTTGTCCATTTTATGATATTAAATGTTGGGTCTTTATTTTTCAATAGTCCTATATACAAACCTTCAGTCTTTTCATAATTAATCTTGGCACCTGATGCTTTTTCATATGATTTTAATAGTTTAAAAGCTTCTCGAATGGATTTTTCTGTTTGATTGATTAGCTGAGTATCATCTGCAAATATACTTTTTTTTTTTAAAGCATCTCAATCCAAGTACAAAATTTATTACCAAAATTAAATTCTTTGAAAACATTTTAATACCCAACCCAATTCTATCCTATCAAAAGCCTTTTGTTGGTCTAGAAATATAATTGAACCATCTTGTTCTGCCCTGTCACTAAAGTCTATTATATCCTGTAACATTATATTGGCATCCATGATATTTCTACCTGGTACAAAGCCTTTCTGGTCAGGATGTATAAGTTTGTTTAAATTTATTTTCAGTCGATTAGCCAAAATTTTTGCAATTATCTTATAATCTACATTGAGTAAAGTAATTGGTTGCCAGTTTTTTAATATCTTCTCTTTCTCCTTTTTTATAAAGTAATTTAATTATTCCCTTAGTTTGACTATTTGAAAGTTTGTTTTCAGTAAATATTTCTATGATTAATTGTGTGATCTCAGTTTTGATTAAGTTCCAATATGTTTGGTAAAATTCACTTATAAATCCGTCCTCACCAGGTGACTTGTTACTCTTTAAAGATTTGACAGCTTCGCTAATTTCTTTATTTTCTATCAGTCTATCCATGTTCCTGCTTTCTTCATTAGATAGTTTATTTTCTATAAATTGTGTTAAAAAATCTGCATTTTGTTCATCCCACCCTTCTGATTTAAAAAGCATATTATAAAAAGATGTCTGTTCTTCTAAAATGTTATCTATGCCAGTTTTATAATTACCATCCCGTCCTTTTATCTTATACCACTGTTTAGTTTCAGCATTTTTCTTTTCAAGGTTAAAGAAGTATTTGGTTAATTTTTCATTTTCATCATATATTTGTATTCTGCTCCGTACTCTAGCAGCATCTGTTTGATTAGTGTAGTATCTTTTTATTTTATATTTCAATTGTTCATGGCTCTGACTATTTTCTAATGTCTCTAGCTCGTCTTCAGCACGTTTAATTTCTATCTTTGATATATTTATCTTTTTTCCTATTTCCATACTTAATTGTTTTATTTTAGTTTTAGTAATTTCCCACCATTCACTTATACTATTATACATAATTATTTCATTTTTCCACACTGACCAACATGTCTCAAATGCATTTTTAAAAATATCACTTGCAATTACTTTATAATTCATTTTCCATGTTCCCGGTCCTCGTTCAAGATCCATCAAAGATAGTTTGATCGTGTTTAAATCATGACCACTATAAGGGCAGTATTTTATTTTAGCATTAATTATTTGAGACTTTAAACTGTTTTCTGTTAAGATCAAATCAATTCTTGATTTGGAACTGCCTCGTTTAAAAGTATATTTTAATGAATCTGGATTTTGTATTCGCCATATGTCGGATAAGTTGTGTTGTATCATGAGGTTGACTAGTTGTGTATTTCCGACATCCTCGGACGGTTGTAAAGGAAATCTGTCTTTTGTTTTATCCATTACACAGTTAAAATCACCCATTATAAATTTTCTGATGAATCATTACAAAAATTTAAATGTAAATATGTTAAAAAATCCTTTCTCTCCGTTCCTTTATTGGGACAATATATATTTGTAAGATCATAATGTTTTTGTTCACAATTAACTTTACATGCCAGCACTCTTCCACACTGGTCTCTGTAATATTCAGAAATTTTATGGTCAGAACTATTGTTAACCAGTATACCAACTCCCCTAGAATCGTTCTTCCCATTATTCCATAAACTGTTTCCCCCTCCAACATTTTTCCAGTTGTTATTCCATTGTTTTGAACCTAAATCTGTGCAATGCGTCTCCTGTAAACATACAATATCATATTTTTGACTTTTAACCCAATTAAATAATCTATTCCTCTTTTTATCATCTCGTAAGCCATTAACATTTAAACTAACAAAGAATGTTAACATACGTTCGCAGAAAACCTGGCCATTGCCAACGTATCCCTCCTTACAAATGCATTGGAAGTTGATGCATTCAGTATTTGACGCACATCTCTGATTTCCACATATCCCATCGACTGTAAGTGACAAAAATATGTCTGCATTAAGTAGAATGCCTTTAACATTGAGCAAAATAACAATCATCTTAACACGTTAACACATGTTTGTTTAAGATAAGTTTTCTTCGTGTTTAGCGCAAGATATAAACGTCAATACTGTTCAAACGATATACATTTAAACAAACAGACCAGTAAATGATTTCACAAACATACCTTCACATTTGATATGTCCATCACCATGGTACCCAACAACACAGGTACATTTACCCTCATGACACTCGGAGTTATCCGCACAGATCTGTCCTGCGCATAGCTCTATACAACAAATGCAGATGAACCGTTATTTGTATATGACTTAAACCATTTGAGCTCTAGGAAATTTAAACTGTAGTGTATAAGGATACATCCACGCTTACGTTCTTTTGTTTGAAAGCATACCGGCTTGAAATGGAATTCAAATATCGTTACCTTCTTATCACGTAACGCGTATTCCTTGACAATTAATTAGGTACAGATTCGGGGAGATTTATTTATTTCATATTTATCAACATCCGTCTGAATATAAATTTGTAAACATCTTTGATAAGGTCATTTAAATCAATATGTCAAGCAGTACATTACTAGGAAAAAAGTACAAAATGAAAATTAATGATACCTTACCGTCACATTTATCGTACCCGCCACCTAGGTATCCCTCCATACAGACACATTTGAAGTTCACACAATGTGCAAAGGCCGCACACGTCTTTCCGTCACAGAAACCGTCCGCTGCAGATAAAGTGGCTTAGGTTTAACAACCCATTTGTTTTGTGAAACTGAATACTTCATGTTTTGCTTAAAAATTGTAAGTCCATTTAAAGTGAAAGAGTATTAAAAAAACCTAAATTGCAACGCACCTCAAGTTTGCTTCGGTTATTGCACAAAACATATAAAGTTCTGCCAGCGTATTTATTTTAAATATTTACGTGTGGTTGAATGATATAGCATAATACCTTCACATCTGGTATTTCCGTCTCCATGGTATCCCTTGTCGCACACACATTTGTTGTTAACGCAGGATGCAAAATCCACACATTTTATTGTTCCACAAAGAGCTTAAATATTATAAAACGGACACATCGAATAATGTACATATTTTTGTAACAACATTTATAAACGACTTCTTGTTTAAAATGTGAGTATTATATTTTATACAGGTCTATATAGCATTATCTCGCACATCTTTGACCAGGTTTTAAACAAAGCGTAGCCGAATCGAACTTTTTGATCATAAATTTAAGCGCATCATTTCGAAAAATATTCACCTTTACACTTTGTGAGGCCGTCTCCGATATAACCTTGTCGACACTGACATTGGAAGTTCACACACTCCGCGTTCAGACAACACTCCTTTCCTCCACAGCGAGATATCGCTATAATAAACGTAAAGTCTCATAATTGTAAACGATTTATTTCTTATTATATATTCAATCAATAACATATATTTCACACCAATGTACACAATGTAACAACTCAAAGATGCAGCTATTCTACAGAGGTATGCCCAACTTACGTTCGCACAACACATATCCGTTTCCATGAAATCCCTCCGCACAGTGGCACTGGTTCTCCGCACAAACGGCGTTAGCACGACACAGTCGGCCGTTACAAAGCGCTGTAACACATTGTGAATAACGCACAGTCATAGTTCAATCGATCAAGTACATACACCTCATTAATTAAAATTTGACTACAATCTAAATTACTACTTTAGACAGTAGTTTTGCAACCAAACTCGTAATAAAAATTGTGTGCAAACTATGTTGTTTTCAGCAAATGTGTCCCATAAATTGTAAATATTGATTATTCAGATGTTATAGTATATTTTCTTTCTTTTCTATAATTTCTCGTAGAACAAATCTTACTTTCATATTATAAGTATAGACACTCAAACATCTTATTTTATTTCAATATCAGAATTTCCATGTGTTATTTATTTCTTTCTATCGCCGTGCAACGGACGAGTTTACATCATCATAGCACACACATGTACTTACCTGTACACTTGGTATTGCCATCACCATGGTAACCAGGTCGACACTTACACCTGTAATTCTGGCACTCTGCGTATTCAGCACATCTATCCCCGTTACAGAACCCATTGGCTGATGTTTGTACAATGGAGTGTTTCATAAATTTTATAACTAAAAAGTCACACTTTAACAACATTTTTTTCAATTTTAATATTAAATTTGTTTAAATAACTTAAAAGGCTAAGAGCACAACCACGCCAATCAACCTTGTTGAGTGAACGCCAAAACCTATTATAGGTTTTGTAAATGCTAAAAGTTAAGTTAGAAACGTTCTGCTTCAGCAGCCTTTAGTTGTCATATTCTCCATGAAAATACTTATTATCTTAATGGATATTCGAATAATTCACTGACGGGGTTTTCGGTAATATAAAGCAGATGCGTATTTCATTATCAAAGGTATGTAATGAAAATTACATTCAAGGCTATACATGTGCAGATATTTCCTATGATCCAATTACCCTTTTCAGGCGAAAATAGTAGCGTTTTTGACAAACGGTTTGGTCAATGGTCATTCTTTACATTTTTTCTGAATATTTGTTTGTCAAACTACTTCCATTCATTTTCTATTTTGAGGATAAGTATTGGTTCAAAAAAAGTCAACACTCAATTGTGAAAGAAAGAAATACATTTAAACAAACAATTTACACTTATTTTTATCAGCAAAAGCAATATTTTTTTTTCCTTCAATACTAACTGATTTATTTTATGTCGTATCTGTTATAATATCTGAGCGTCAAAAATGTACTTAAAACAAATTATTTTACAGCCACTAGATACGCAATCATGATCGTCAGTGGCGTTTGACAAGCAGTCGATAACGCTGGTTGTTTATATTAAGTAGAAAGATTGCTCCCTTTTATGGGTTCGGTAAGGCTTGTTACAAAGCATTACACATAAAAATCCTAATTTGTACCATCTAATTTTAAAAACACTACCGTGAAGTAATAACTTGGTCGAATAAGAATAAAACACATCTCACATTTTACCACTTATTTTACATAGGAAAACGAGGTAACCAAGCCTGACATGACACATTTGATATATATATGGTACTTACTCTCGCATTTGATATACCCATCACCGTGATATCCCTGTGTACATTCACATCCGGTGCTTTTACATTCCGCGTGATCCACACACGGCATCCCATTACAAATACCTAAAACACCAAGTGATAATCAAATATAAGTTTTGTCCATTTTTTTGTCAAGGTTATATGCATTGTAAATGTGGTAATATATATAAAAAGATTGGGAATTAAATCGTGATCCAACATCATATTAATAGATTTTTACACTTTTTGACAAGAACTTCCTTCGTTCTCTTTTAGACAATTGCGTTTTTGAAAAATGGCAGGGTCGGCAATGATTAAAATCTCTCAGATATGTACAATTAGCAAAATTATGAGGTGAATTCCAAACATAACTTAGACCTTTTGACTAGAATAATGGTGAAATTATGCATTACAATTTACAGTATATCTTACAGGATGTTGTAAAATTAGTACTAGAATTAATTTTAACTTACGTAAACACTGTCTGAACCCATCTCCGTAATAATCACTGTCACAGAGACAGTGGTAGTTCTTGCATGACGCATTCTCGGTGCACGTCTTGCCGCCACAACTCCCCGTTTCTATGTTAAACACACAGATAAAAGTACATTTGAACATACATCTCGGTCGTAGTTTACGATATTATGAATTATGTGCTTCAATTGGTCTCTACTTACTACCTGACCAACATTAATGTCTTTATAGTAAGCTATACGATAAGCAGAAAGATTTTAACTTTCCGACGGTGATCTTTCCCTTTCTTGATAGTACCATCCCTACTTCCTCTACCTTCGGTGTTTACATGTCGCTATTGATTTGGCATTCAAGAGCTTGCTCGGAATATCATGTTTTCTATTATTGAAATAGACGGATGACTGACAAACTCACAACACAGGGTTTCCAAAAACGCACGTTGATAAAAACTATGGACAGGCTTTATGGTCCCCATCATGATCACATAGTGTGAGTGAGTGCTTGTTAGTGTGGTACGAAGGTCAGTTATTTTATTATACTCATATGTGTGCCTTGTGGTTTTGTTGTCACTACCCGAGTCCATAACATTACTTATACTAATGCACTAATCTTTTCCTTGTACTTTTTTCAGTGTCTCCATGAAAAGCTTCCCTTTGTATATAGTATGCCAAAATTTATCGATTCCGAGTTTGCACAGTGCTTTTGCTGACACTTCATTTGAAATGTTTAAAGGACTTTGTACACGTCCCAGTATGCTTTTTTAAACACAAGCTTAAATCAAAATCAATGACAATGCAAACACCGTGTTTTTCGTTGAATACGGATTTCTATCATTCAGATAGCTTTGACCATGATATAAAAAATAAAACAAAAATATAAGTTGAAATAACTTGTTTCACAATTGTTGTAAAATAAATAAAGTTTACTAATTTATTTATATAAAATACCATATGAGCCCATTAAGTGTATACCTTCACACTGTATGTATGGGTCGCCACTGTATCCGGCGTCACATTCACACTTCCCGTAGATACAGGACGAATGATCTACACACGACCGTCCACCACACAGTCCTGTACATTACACAAAGTGATTAAGAAATCAATATTAATTTCAAGTTGCAACGCAACGTGTCTCAAAGTTCGAAACATCAGACTTCCTATTTTTATGGGGTAGAGATAGTCGGAACGTTCTCTCTAGGGTATCTCTGAAACAATTGTACACCGGGTCTGGTTCGCACTACAGTAAATGTTTTCCTGTTTACTGAAGCATGCTCATAAACATTTCACGGACGAAATTTTTTTTTATTTATCTGTGCCACTGTGCCGATTAAATATATATATAGACAATGATCTTTTTTCGACATGTTTAGATTTTTGTCCGTCCAAGATATCGCAAAACCTCTTTAGATTTTTAACAGATATTTATAGTTTTCCTATATTTTCCGTACTCAAAGCTATGAAAAACCTTCAGGAAAAATTATTGAAGTGAACATCAAACAAATAGCGGTATTGTTTTAAAGAGACCAAATCGAAAGGAGGTATTGACTTTGCACACCCAATACAAGTTTGCCCACCCAATAAAAGTTTGCCCACCCAATAAAAGTTTGCTAACAGTTTACCCACCCAATAAAAGTTTGCCCACCCAATAAAAGTTAATAGGTGATAGTTATGTCATTTTTTCATAAATAATGACAGTTTATTCCGATAATTACGTGTATAACGTTGCTTACTTTCGCATTTACTGTAACCGTTTCCATAATATCCCTCTTTACATTTGCAAATGTAATTGACACACTCTCCAAACTCTGTACAGATCTTCCTTCCACATAGGTATGGTGCTGTAACATACACACCAATATATAAATATAACATTAAGATGAAAATGGCCACTATTAAATAAGAAAAATAAAAACATTCTTCATATCCTTCTTCAGAGTAACTGTATTAGATAAACAAACATTGACAACAATGTAGACAAAAAATAATTAAACCTTTTCGGGTTAACCCGCCCCTTTTCAAGGCACACACATCAAACAATTATATAATACCAAATTGAATAATAAAAACAACAATTAAAATCTTACAGTTAATACTGAGTCGTAACAACAATGTTTTTGTATATAATTTCTGCCGTTTTGTAGTCAAAGTCTATTATAATCAATAACCTTTGCCAAGCTAGTGCTGTACCATCTGCATTAAATGACGCCGAAAGCTAGATCAGAGATTAGGAGAACGCGTAATGGACTAGTTTATCTATGTCCATGCATTTATCTAGACATGTTCCATTCTAGTTTTTCGTTTAGAAGTAACTTACGTTCACAAAGGATCAAGCCGTTCCCGTGGTACCCAAAACTGCACACACATTTGTCATCCTTACATATAGCATAGTCTGAACACGTCTGTCCACCACAGAGAGCTGTTTAAGAGAGATAACTCCTTTATCAAACACTTTGTTGATTGTATTTATTATTAAGTCTACTTAAGAGTATTATGGCAGTAAGATAGTTTAACAAGCAAGATATCATCTCAGTTTACAACTCGTTATAAGTGTCTGCGTCGTGTATTGGAGTATATTATAGCTGTTTTCTCATATGTTTAAACAATGTCAGTCGATTGTAAAACACTCTTGTAAAAAGACTTCTTTTTTTTTTAAATGTTCCAATGACTACCTTTTGTACTTACGTTCACACTTATCGTAGGGGTCCCCAATGTAGCCTCGCTCACATTGACACTCGTAGTTTATACATTTAGCAAACGGAGCACACGTCTTTCCATCACAAACACTGGCCGCTGTGGTAAGTAAACACTGCTGTTAAGGTTAATGTTGCGATTTGTACAAGGGGTTTCAAGCCCCCCTAAATTTACATGATATACAATGTGTTCATAGGTTAAAGCTTTAATTCTAGATCTGATTGGTGAATATACTGAAATATTTATTGATATTGAAATTCCCTTATTGTATATTCAGTATAATAGTGATACATTGTCGTTGTTGAAAAATGTTTTAAGAAAAAAACCTTTTTGCTTATACTTACGTTCACACCTGATGTAGGGATTGCCCTCGTACCCGTTCTGACAGACACACTCATTTGCGTCGCAGTACGCGTATTCAGCACAGCGGCCGTAGTCACAAACAGCTATGCAACAGAAATCACATGTCTAAACAGACAGATTTGCTTCAAACAACAAATGAAATACCTAACATAGTTGAATTTTAGTGGAACTAGTAGAACGGTTATAGTAAGCTTATTTAGAGGTGTTAAATAATAAGCAATATTACATTAACTAGTTACTAGATAGATGAGATATCAAGATGGAACAAACAAATCGGTATTGTGATGCAGGAGGGAACACATTTCAGATTAATCACTTAGTATTATATAAACATTATTTTAATTTCTTCTATCAGATTAAACAGTTTGGAAATATGTGATAGCAAATTTTTACTTTTTACACAAACATGACAAAGGGACCAGTCGGTCTGGAAACGATGCGACACGTTTAATACGTACATTGTTTGTGTAAAAATGTAAAAAATAAAACTTTGATATTACTTTAATTATTGCTAATTCATTTGAGCATACGTTCACACTGTTTGTTGCCGTCCCCGAGGTAGCCCCTGTCACAGACACAAACGTAGTTGAAGCAGTGGGCGTTCTGAACACAGGTTGTACCTCCACAAATACCCAGGGCTACACAGAAATAAAGTATATTTGTTTTGTAATTAACAAATGACCATATATATAACCTTTTTATGCAAATTAAAATCACACAAAAAGGGTAGTTATAAAAAGGATTTTTTTGCGAATCAATAATACAAATTGCATGTTTTGACGAATATTTCGTTGTTAAACGTTATTGTTAATTTTAGCAGTAGCACGTGACTGAACACTTACGCTCGCATTTGTTGTAACCGTTTCCATGGTAACCCACACTGCACACGCATTGGTCGTGTTGGCAATAGGCATTTTGTGAGCAAATTCGCCCGCCACAAAGTTCTACAAAATATACTATTATTTTACTTTAGGAACAAAAATCAACGGTTTGTTTATATGCCTTATTATATACTCTAACTTATGACTCTATGTATTAAATTGTAACTTCAAAAGTAAGTGTATTCTATCAACAGCATATTGTCCTCGAGTTCCAGTAAAATTCATTTCACAAATTTTGATATTTGCATTGCCATAGGGACAGTCATATGCAGCAATTACAGACAGAGTTACTTACAAAACTATTTATTTCATTATTCAATGACATTGATACGCCACATTCAGATGGATATATTATAAAAAATTAAAGTTATTTGATCGAATAGTTTCATTTGCACTTCATAACCGAGTAATTCGGTTATCTTGCAGACGATTTAATGTATTCATACATTCCTGTAGCCTGTATACGTACTACTACAATCCAGGAAGGCGTTACGTCTACTTGCACACTCGAGATATTGGTGATACGAATTATTACGCTCCAATCAGCTTTAACTTACTATCTAGAAGACTTAACACTTACTCATACACTCTAGGAGACTAAACACTTACTCATACACTCTAGGAGACTAAACACTTACTCATACACTCTAGGAGACTAAACACTTACTCATACACTCTAGGAGACTAAACACTTACTCATACACTCTAGGAGACTAAACACTTACTCATACACTCTAGGAGACTAAACACTTACTCATACACTCTAGGAGACTAAACACTTACTCATACACTCTAGGAGACTAAACACTTACTCATACACTCTAGGAGACTAAACACTTACTCATACACTCTAGGAGACTAAACACTTATTCATCACTCTAGCAGATTTAACCCTAACTCTTACACTCTAGAAGACACAACACCTACTCTTACACTCTAGAAGACCTTAAACTTATTTTTACATTCCTGAAGACTAAGCAGTTACTCTTAAACACAAGAAGACTTAACAGTTACTCTCCAATTCAAGAAGACCTTACACTTACTCGTAGTCTTGACTATTACTGGGAAGACAAGCTCCATGCTCAATATGTTATCAAGGATAAATAAAGCCTATTTTTAATTCCTTGTCAACTTTGAACATGTATAGGTTACTCTCAAACCCAAGAAGACTTTACACTAAAGTAGCCTGGACACTTACTCTTGCACTCTAGATAGCCATTCCCAATGAACCCTGACTGGCATTGACATGCGTAGTTGACGCAGGCGGCATTGGTCACACAAGTCTTCCCGCCACAGGTGTAAACAGCTGAAAATTCCATGGACGTTTACACAATACCAGTCCAATTATTTTATTTTAAACGATAAATCAATACACATAAATCTAAAATATTGTAATTCTTAAACAAACAAATAAATTATAAATGACATTTTTTCATAATATGTCTTGAAGATGTATGTATACATATGGTATACAATCTCGTATAATTATATGCAATAAAGAGATGAACCTAAGACACATGGAGACACAATATGCCAGATATGAATTACGCTGTGTAAAACAAATCTAAATTGAAATCAAAAGCAAAGCTTAAAGTAAAGATATACATTCGTAACTGACTGATGAACTGCATATGTTTTTCAAAATTATAAAAATTCAGAAATAAAGAAATAAGACTCACGTTCACAGCGAATTGTGGGTGTACCGTGAAATCCATCGTAGCACACACACTTGCTGTTTTGACACTCGGCGTTACCGCCACATCTCTCTCCGCCACACAGAGCTTCAATGGCGAGAACGTGACGAGAATTAAATCACAGATATATACCACAATATAGTAGACTAATAGACACAACGTTATAAAACAAGGTAATGAAGACGGTAAAAAGATTAAGACATGTACGAAAGACAAAGACATAAAATACTCACGTTCACACGAGACATACCCGTCCCCGACATAACCAGGCGAGCATACACATCTACCGTACAGACAGGTGGCATGCTCACAACAGTGACGACCGTCACAGTAGTCCAATTCTAGATAAAGTCGAAATAGACCGTTACGGACGTAGATCAATAAACTGTTACGGACGTTCCTATCAACGGAATGCTACGGACGACAACAATCAATTCGGTTATCGTTGAATTCGCCTCACTATTGCATAATGTATGTAATGTTTATTGAGCAGAGCTTCTTTCGTCACCTGTCAGATGAGCTATCATAAGTGTTACTGAGCATGGTATTCAAATAAACTCATTCTGAGCAAAAATTAACATATACAGTTCAGTCGAATGTACTTACGATAACATTGTATGTATCCGTTGCCATGGTAACCTTCCATACATCTACATTTTCCACCTTCGCACGCTGCAAACTTTACACATCTTCTGTTGCTGCACAATTCTATAATTATAAGATATACGATACATCGGAGAGGAAAACATATAGTGTTCATAATATAGGCATACGTTGTTTATTGTGGATGCCCAAAACCACAGTTGTTTTACCAACTATATATTTATACAGATCGTCTGTTTTCATTTTCAGTTGACTGTTTCTCCAAATTACTTCTAACGCTAAATTCATTATAATTATGCGGCTCATAAATTACAAAATAAGTGTCATATTATTATACGATAGCGCTAGGATTAACTCCAGGATTGTATAGAATATAGTAGTGTCATAAGACTATATTTAAATGATTACAAAATGATATCATACGACTATACCACAAGGGTTACATAGTAGTGTCATGTGACTATACCACAAGGATTTCATAGGTGTTTCATAAGACTATACCACAAGGATTTCATAGTAGTGTCATTTGACTATACCACAAGGATTACAGAGTAGTGTCATGTGACTATAACTCAAGGATTACAGAGTAGTGTAATGTGACTATACCACAAGGGTTACACAGTAGTGTCATGTGACTATACCACAAGGATTTCATAGGTGTTTGATATGACTATACCACAAGGATTTCATAGGTGTTTCATAAGACTATACCACAAGGATTTCATAGTAGTGTCATATGACTATACAACAAGGATTACAGAGTAGTGTCATATGACTATAACTCAAGGGTTACAGAGTAGTGTCATATGACTATACCACAAGGATTACAGAGTATGACTATACCACAAGGATTTCATAGGTGTTTCATATGTCTATACCACAAGGATTTCATAGGTGTTTCATATGTCTATACCACAAGGATTTCATAGGTGTTTCATAGGACTATACCACAAGGATTTCATAGTAGTGTCATATGACTATACCACAAGGATTACAGAGTAGTGTCATGTGACTATAACTCAAGGATTACAGAGTAGTGTAATGTGACTATACCACAAGGGTTACATAGTAGTGTCATGTGACTATACCACAAGGATTTCATAGGGGTTTCATATGACTATACCACATGGATTACAGAGTAGAGTCATATGACTAAACCACAAGGATTTCATAGTAGTGTCATATGACTATAACACAAGGATTTCATAGGTGTTTCATATGACTATACCACATGGATTACAGAGTAGTGTCATATGACTAAACCACAAGGATTTCATAGTAGCGTCATATGACTATGCCACAAGGGTTACATAGTAGTGTCATGTGACTATACCACAAGGATTTCATAGGTGTTTCATATGTCTATACCACAAGGATTTCATAGGTGTTTCATATGTCTATACCACAAGGATTTCATAGGTGTTTCATATGTCTATACCACAAGGATTTCATAGGTGTTTCATAGGACTATACCACAAGGATTTCATAGTAGTGTCATTTGACTATACCACAAGGATTACAGAGTAGTGTCATATGACTATACCTCAAGGATTACAGAGTAGTGTAATGTGACTATACCACAAGGGTTACACAGTAGTGTCATGTGACTATACCACAAGGATTTCATAGGTGTTTCATATGTCTATACCACAAGGATTTCATAGGTGTTTCATATGTCTATACCACAAGGATTTCATAGGTGTTTCATATGTCTATACCACAAGGATTTCATAGGTGTTTCATATGTCTATACCACAAGGATTTCATAGGTGTTTCATATGTCTATACCACAAGGATTTCATAGGTGTTTCATAGGACTATACCACAAGGATTTCATAGTAGTGTCATATGACTATAACACAAGGATTTCATAGGTGTTTCATATGACTATACCACGTGGATTACAGAGTAGTGTCATATGACTAAACCACAAGGATTTCATAGTAGCGTCATATGACTATGCCACAAGGGTTACATAGTAGTGTCATGTGACTATACCACAAGGATTTCATAGGGGTTTCATATGACTATACCACAAGGATTTCATAGTAGTGTAATATGACTATACCACAAGGATTACAGAGTAGTGTCATATGACTATAACTCAAGGATTACAGAGTAGTGTAATGTGACTATACCACAAGGGTTACACAGTAGTGTCATGTGACTATACCACAAGGATTTCATAGGTGTTTGATATGACTATACCACAAGGATTTCATAGGTGTTTCATATGACTATACCACATGGATTACAGAGTAGTGTCATATGACTAAACCACAAGGATTTCATAGTAGTGTCATATGACTATGCCACAAGGGTTACATAGTAGTGTCATGTGACTATACCATAAGAATTACAGAGTAGTGTCATATGACTATACCTCAAGGATTACATAGTAGTGTCACATGACTATACCTCAAGGATAACATAGTAGTGTCATATGACTATACCACAAGGATTACAGAGTAGTGTCATATGACTATAACTCAAGGATTATATAGTGGTGTCATATGACTATACCACAAGGGTTACAGAGTAGTCTCATATGACTATAACTCAAGGGTTACATAGTAGTGTCATGTGACAATACCACGAGGATTACATAGTAGTGTCATATGTCTATATCACATGGATTACAGAGTAGTGTCATATGACTAAACCCCAAGGATAACATAGTAGTGTCATATGACTACACCACAAGGGTTACATAGTAGTGTCATGTGACTATACCACAAGGATTTCATAGTATTGTCATATGACTATACCACAAGGATTACAGAGCAGTGTCATATGACTATAACTCAAGGATTACAGAGTAGTGTAATGTGACAATACCACACGGATTACAGAGTAGTGTCATATGACTAAACCACAAGGATTACATAGTAGTGTCATATGACTAAACCTCAAGGATTACAGAGTAGTGTCATGTGACTATACCACAAGGATTACAGAGTAGTGTCATATGACTAAACCACAAGGATTACATAGTAGTGTCATATGACTATACCACAAGGATTTCATAGGTGTTTCATATGACTATACCACAAGGATTTCATAGTAGTGTCATATGACTATACTACAAGGATTTCATAGGTGTTTCATATGACTATACCACAAGGATTTCAGGGTAGTGTCATATGACTAAACCACAAGGATTTCAAGGTGTTTCATATGACTATACAACAAGGATTTCATAGGTGTTTCATATGACTATACCACAAGGATTTCATAGTAGTGTCATATGACTATACTACAAGGATTCCATAGGTGTTTCATATGACTATACAACAAGGATTTCATAGGTGTTTCATATGACTATACCACAAGGGTCACATAGTAGTGTCATATGACTATACCTCAAGGGTTACAGAGTAGTGTCATATGACTATACCACAAGGATTACATAGTAGTGTCATATGACTATAACTCAAGGATTATAGAGTAGTGTAATGTGACTATACCTCAAGGGTTACAGAGTAGTGCCATGTGACTATACCTCAAGGGTTACATAGTAGTGTCATATGACTAAACCACAAGGATTACATAGTAGTGTCATATGACTATACCACAAGGGTTACAGAGTAGTGTCATATGACTATAACTCAAGGGTTACATAGTAGTGTCATGTGACAATACCACAAGGATTACATAGTAGTGTCATATGTCTATATCACATGGATTACAGAGTAGTGTCATATGACTATAACTCAAGGGTTACATAGTAGTGTCATATGACTATAACTCAAGGGTTACATAGTAGTGTCATATGTCTATACCTCAAGGGTTACAGAGTAGGGTCATATGACCAGGATGATGTGGTCAAAAGTACATAGAATAGGCTACAGTTGTCTTGTGCAGCCCAAATATTACCTACCAGCTTTATTATTCAGACTGATTTATGCTTAGAATTGTGATATATGTAGTATATAGACAGGTTCCCTAACGATTGGAGGTTGGTAATCATGTTTATCTCACTCGAGTTAGTAAATGTTTCAATTGTTTAAAGGCACAATCTTCACGGTGTGTCTTTTACAGTTAGAAAACTAACTAACTCGAGTTAGATGAACATGATACTCAACCATCACGAGTTTGTGGACCTTTCTCTCCATAAACGTTCAGATAGTATATCTAGAAAACAATATGTTTCTCTTGGGAATAAATAATTCCTGTTTCAAATCGGGGAAACAATTACTATGAAAATGAAATTGACGTCACAAAGTATTCTTACTTGACGTCATTATTAGAAGATTGACCGATGAAATCATGTTCTGTGTGTCACCCACTAGTGGGTAGACAAACAGTTTAACCGACTCCTGGCATACATAACACATAATTAATTACGGTGTACACTGTGTCACCCACTAGTGGGTAGACAAACAGTTTAACCGACTCCTGGCATATATAACACATATTTAATTACGGTGTACCGTGTCACCCACTAGTGGGTAGACAAACAGTTTAACCGACTCCTGGCATATATAATACATAATTAATTACGATGTACCCTGTGTCACCCACTAGTGGGTAGACAAACAGTTTAACTGACTCCTGGCATATATAATACATAATTAATTACGGTGTACCCTATATAATGTACCTTCACAATGACTGTACCCTATATAATGTACCTTCACAATGACTGTACCCGTCTCCGACAAAGCCGTCCCTACACACACACTGGTAATTGACACATTTGGCGTCAGGACAACACATCTTCCCGTCACACAACGACGTAGCTGTATAAAGAGTGAAGCATGTATCAAATCAAACTCTCACGATCAGAGAAAGGAAAGCAAAAAAAACTATCCAAAAGAACTTCATAAACAATAAGTACTGTGGAAAAATAAATGTATATCGTGTTATTTTTCAAAAAAGCCATAAATTTACCATCATGAATAGTTTACCTTCACATTTTAGATATCCGTTACCATGGTAACCGTCACTACATATGCATTCGTCCCTATAGCAATAGGAGTTCTGTACGCATCGCCTCCCCTTACACAGAGCTACAACATACAGGTGCGACACCATACAAGTACGTATATACCATAAATGTTTGGTCAATGCAGCTGACAATTATATATAGCGAGATCAGTTGACATGTTCCTAATATATCACGTAGACAACATAGTCTATATAGTTAATACAGTAAACAGTTAAATTCTTCCTCACACGTAGACCTGAGGTCTCTTACCAGGTGTACAACATATATCTAATGACTAATTTCATTATTACATGTAGATCGAAACATGGCAAATGAAACTGGTAAATTCGGAATATCATTCTTATACATGCTGAATTCTAAGATTCATTGAACAGAAGATCAGAATTAAGTCAGCATGCTTCCAGTATTACGTAATTCAAGAGAAGAAATACATGTCAGTTAAGCATAAACGACAATTCGTGTTGGTATAACTTCCAAATATGGTCTTACGTGTGCATTTCATATATGGGTCCCCGTAGAATCCGCGTCTACATGTGCACTGGTAGTTTACGCATACAGCGTTCATCCCACAATTTCGGCCATCGCATACTTGTAACGCTGGAGCCACAAATATACAAAATACATATATCATTTACATAAAAAAGCATATTCACGCCAGCAATACTTAAAATATGCAGTTGTCACAGTAATAAAGATGTGTAGAAGATTAATGTTTGCTTCATTTTTTGTATAATGTAAACTTTCTCCATTTTTGTATTTGGTAAAAATAAACAATTTATTATTCGCATTATTGAATCAAAACATAAGAAATTCCGAATTAGGAAAATTCAGTAGGATGCATTCGTAACATTATCATCCTTGTAACGTTTCTCATAAGTTTCGTTCACTGTTTATGTAAATATGATATACTAACATACATTTACAAAGATATTTCATTTATATTGAATACGAAGCAGAATTGTCAACTGAGTGTATGTCTTTTTTATTGTACAATCAAGCCTTGGTTTATGGATAGTTTGCTCAGTTGTAGACATAACTGTACCTGTGTGACGAGCGTCTACTCGCGACAATTTAACGTAAATTGTGTCACGTCAAAAACTGATATATTCCAAATCTCTTTTCATCGCATGATTAAAGTTATTAAAACAATATTGAGATACATGTAGCAATCATAAAATGCAAACCAATCAACTGAAGTGTGCGGGCCCACTTACGTTCACATTTGACGTCACCATCTCCATGGAAACCTTCGTTACATCTGCACTTGCCCTCGGCACAAAAGGCATGATCTGCGCAAATCCTTCCGTCACACAGAGCTGTTTCGAAAGAAAGATTTGATATCAAAGTGAAAAAAATGAAAGTAAACTGGTTGTTTAATAAGATAACTATCCAACACAACTCCCAGAAGCATATGTGTTTAAACAAACCTGTATTGTACATACCCTTAAGATATATGAAGAAGTCAGCAGATAATAATGAGGATATCATATTAATATCATGAATAATTTTGATCATCCCGAATAATTGCTGGTAAAATTCATGATTTCTCCTCCCAAATTGGTGTTAAACATGAAATGTAATATGCTAGGTATACGTTGGTAAAATAGACTGGAATTAAGTCTATCGCTGTTTTGATTTACTGATACGAGACAATCACTATAAACTGTTAAACGATAGTGTTTCCAGATATATGATTTTTATCATCTTACAGTGGTTATTATTTACGTCTACGTGCTAACAAAAGGGTTTTTAAATATATTGTTTCAGTGTCCAAATCAACAATAGTAGGTTGGACGCACGTACTACCAACAGTGGTTCCATAACGTACGCAGACTGGTGCTTAGTCTTTTGTCTTAAAGAGACGCAATTTTCTCTTGAATGAGTGTCACTGCTATCTGAAGAGTGATCCTTCTTATCATAACAAGTAAAGTATGTAAGTAAATTAACCCTGACGTCACAAAGAGATACTGGTCGAACTGACAAGTCCGGTCATAGTTCACATTAAGGTCATGTATACTACAACTATGTCATTCAAAACACATTGGGGTCAGAACTGTGAATCGGACATATAGTATAAATAGTATAAGTAGGTCCTGCCGTCGACATTTTCTCGTGAAACTTTCGAAGAGGTGAATGACTTTTAATCAATTTTATCAAGGATACTTATAAATCCTCCTTACGCACAATCGCTACGTTCTAAGGACGCGGTGTGGGCCATTCATAGATATGTTCCTTTCCCTGTATTTGATTTACATATTACATGAGAGTCCTTACAAACGACGGTTTATTGCATGATCTAGCACTTGTTGGATTAAACCACTTTCTAAACTATTAAACACCATACTTACCTCAGTCAAGGACGGACTTCAAACTTATCTGGTACATCTTATATTGAAATTGTGCCATCGATCAAATTTCGATTTTAAAAATGTGTAAAGAACTTCTGGAGTCATTTAAATTCCTATCAATACCAATAACATTTATTGTAAAACTTCTCATTTCTTCCAACCAACATTCTTCATCCGTAATTTGCCTCTGTTTGGTTCCAATATATATCTTTCTTGTAACTATAGTCATATTTCCATAATAAGGCACTACAAGTTCTCAATTTTAAACACTGTATACTATTTATCACTCATTTTGTAATTGTCCTAATCGGTATTGTAATACATTTGCATTATAAATGTATCTGAAAAAATAACTTTTTGAAGTATATCATTTTGCTATAACCTTACTCCACAAAATAACGCAAAATAAAGAATTTCGAGAAATGTACGTATTCTGCAATATTATTTTATTATTTTATTGAGTTGGCAGGAATGTTGTTGGTATGTTTAATAACACAACTGGGTTAATATAATCATATACTTACATTTACACATAACGTAGGGGTCACCATAGTAACCGGAACTACATATACAAACGGAGTTTAGGCACTTGGCACCCTTTGTACATATAGCATCATCGCACTTTCCATCAGCTTACAAAAGAAAAGTCAATAAAAATTAATTACGCTGCATGTAAAGAATTATCTGAGGATTTCAGCATACGCCTAAACTGTGATAACGTATGTCATCTTTTGTATACCAACGTAAAGTATATCTCAATTCTCATAACACACTTAAAATTAAGTGATCGTAAGTTTACATCATTAAACGATTAATGGGACAAGCACATATACTTCTATGAAAGGCGCTTACGTTCACATTTTATATATCCGTTTCCATGGTAACCTGAATCGCAGATACACCTATCATCTTGACAGGAGGCATTAGGGCAGCATCGCGTGCCATCACACAGAGCTGAAGAAGATTACAAAGAAATCACATATATATCATCTCTCAAATCTCAGTTCACATGACAACCAAAAATAATATCCCTCAGGATAGCAATGGCTTCAACTAAAACCTCACTGACGTAGTCGTCCTGGTTTAGGGTTTAACGTGTATTACCATTTCAGAACTTTGAGCAGAAAAACGGAGGTTTAAAAGATAAATTCAATAGAGGTGTAGATAAATATCAAAAGAAAAAGAAAGCATTTTCCAAAGGAAAGAATGAGCTTAGGTGCTACGAAGAATGACATAAAATATTACGGAAGCAAGCGTGATACCTCTCACTAAGTCACTAGCTAAACAGTCACACACCAACTGTGTAAACCCATATAACAGGTAAAACACGTAAAGCACATTGATACAATCGTTAACCAATCACCATGGAAACCGGTATAACACGGTAACACATTGATACAATCGTTGTACCCATCACCGTGGTAACCGGTATACCACGTTTAACCCATCGAACAATCGTTGTAGCCGTCAATATAATACCATGTGTAACAAGTAAAACCTACCAGTACACAAGCGTTGTACCCGTCACTATAATAAACGGTGTAATAAGTAAAACCTACCAGTACAAGCGTAGTACCCGTCACTATAATATACGGTGTAACAAGTAAAACCTACCAGTACAAGCGTTGTACCCGTCATTATAAAATCCGGTGTAACAAGTAAAACCTACCAGTACAAGCGTTGTACCCGTCACTATAATATACGTTGTAACAAGTAAAACCTACCAGTACAAGCGTTTTACCCGTCACTATAATATACGGTGTAACAAGTAAAACCTAACAGTACAAGCGTAGTATCCGTCACTATAATATACGGTGTGACAAGTAAAACCAACCAGTACAAGCGTTGTACCCGTCACTAAAATATCCGGTGTAACAAGTAAAACCTACAGGTGCAAAGGTTGTACCCGTCACTATAATATCCGGTGTAACAAGTAAAACCTACCAGTACAAGCGTTGTACCCGTCATTATAAAATCCGGTGTAACAAGTAAAACCTACCAGTACAAGCGTTGCACCCGTCACTAAAATATCCGGTGTAACAAGTAAACCCTACCAGTACAAGCGTTGTCCCCGTCACTATAATATCCAGTGTAACAAGTAAAACCTACCAGTACAAGCGTTGCACCCGTCACTAAAATATCCGGTGTAACAAGTAAAACCTACAAATGCAAACGTTGTACCCGTCACTATAATATCCGGTGTAACAAGTAAAACCTACCAGTACAAGCGTTGTACCCGTCACTAAAATATCCAGTGTGACGGAAAACCTACCAGTACAAGCGTTGTACCCGTCACTATAATATACGGTGTGACAAGTAAAACCAACCAGTACAAGCGTTGTACCCGTCACTATAATATCTGGTGTGACAAGTGAAACCTACCAGTACAAGCGTTGTACCCGTCTCTATAATATCCAGTGTGACAAGGAAATCCTACCAGTACAAGCGTTGTACCCGTCACTAAAATATCCAGTGTGACGGAAAACCTACCAGTACAAGCGTTGTACCCGTCACTAAAATATCCGGGGTAACAAGTAAAACCTACAAGTGCAAGCGTTGTACCCTACACTAAAATATCCGGTGTAACAAGTAAAACCTACCAGTACAAGCGTAGTACCCGTCACTATAATATTCAGTGTGACAAGTAAAACCTACCAGTACAAGCGTTGTACCCGTCACTATAATATCCGGTGTAACAGGTAAAACCTACCAGTACAGGCGTTGTACCCGTCACTATAATATCCGGTGTAACAAGTAAAATCTTCCAGCAACCGCGTTGTACCCATCACTATAATATCCAGTGTGACAAGAAATACCAACCAGTACAAGCGTTGTACCCGTCACTATAATATCCGGTGTAACTAGTAAAACCTACCAGTACAAGCGTTGTACCCGTCACTATAATATCCGGGGTAACTAGTAAAACCTACCAGTACAAGCGTTGTACCCGTCACTATAATAAACGGTGTAACAAGTAAAACCTACCAGAACAAGCGTAGTACCCGTCACTATAATATCCGGTGTAACAAGTAAAACCTACCAGTACAAGCGTTATAGCCGTCACTATAATAGCCGGCGTAACAAGTAAAACCTACCAGTACAAGCGTTGTACCCGTCACTATAATAAACGGTGTAACAAGTAAAACCTACCAGAACAAGCGTAGTACCCGTCACTATAATATACGGTGTAACAAGTAAAACCTACCAGTACAAGTGTTGTACCCGTCACTATAATATACGGTGTAACAAGTAAACCCTACCAGTACAAGCGTTGTTCCCGTCACTATAATATCCGGTGTAACAAGTAAATCCTACCAGTACAAGCGTCGTACCCGTCACTAAAATATCCGGGGTAACTAGTAAAACCTACAAGTGCAAGCGTTGTACCCGTCACTATAATATCCAGTGTGACAAGTAAAACCTACCAGTACAAGCGTTGTACCCATCACTATAATATCCGGTGTAACAGGTAAAACCTACCAGTACAGGCGTTGTACCCGTCGCCATAGTAATCGCTCTGACACACACACTTGTAGTTAACACACTCGGCACCCTCCGTACATGTTCGACCATCACACACAGCGACGGCTACAAAAAGAAGGAAAGATTTTGTAAAATAAAGTAATAACCACTTAAGGATTGAATCTTGCTTTCGTCGATTTAATGGGGTGATGAATTACTTCGCAGTTCCTGTTGAATTTGTTTCAAAACCAACTCAATTCATCACCCCATGATATCGACCAAAGCTAGATTTAATACTTATATTTCAATCAATTTGTTTTATCAATAATTGGAACTTGTGAAGACCATTCTAATCGTTTGTCCCAGGTTCTGGAGCTTGTGCAAGTCTACGGTATGACGTAATGTAAAACATATAGTCCGTCATTGAAGGACCATCATACAACATGATGATGTACGTATACATTGATAGTTCAATACAACCGAATTATGTTAACACAAAACACAAAACCTTATTTTAAATGTCATATTTAATTTTCGCTGATGAATTTAAAAGATATCAAATTTTCTGATGAGCCATCGCGGAAGGATAATGTCTAGACGCAGCTGCGAGTCTACAGCAGCCATCGTTTTACTAGCTCGAAGTGGAGAGCCGCTAAAGTTCGTGGTTCTACATCTTCTGGGATGTGAAGCTGCAGTAATTGTATGTTTATGTGTGCTGTGACCCATATTAGTTATAGCATGATATGTGTTATTCAGACATTTGTAACGAACCCCTGGGGATCTACGTTGTAATGGGTAGCAGTAGGGAGAATTTCTAGGGCAGTACATGACTTGTCACTACCGCTAGCAACCGTGAGCTGATATTATTTTGCTGATTGATCGTTTTTAGTTGTTTGAACAATTTCTTGTGTTTCTTCAATATAAATGTGAAATCTCATCATGTGGTATCTTTGTTAAAACATGTCAATAGTTATCTACCTTCGCAAAATCATACGCACAGGCAATGTTAATCTGGTCAAATTCATCGGCAAATGAAACAGGATATATTTGGTAGTTGCATTGAGTCCAACTTGAGTAGGAGTTGAAATATTGATTGATGAAACTAACACCTCAACAGATATCTAAAACATATATGTACAGGGTGATCAATACTGAAAGTGTGTCACCATTCATAAAAGTTTATGTAAATTTGATCAATTCGAAACAGAATTAAATAAGCGATACAGTTTATATCAAGATACAATGAAACAAAAAATTGATAATAGAATCTGAAAATTACATAAAGTACATAATAAACCTTAGTTCTCAATTAGGTTATTATGGTTGTTGTTGTAAATATTATCAAAATCTATTGACTTGATTGTTCTCATTGTTTACTTACGTTCACATTGAATGTAGCCAAAACCATGGTAACCATCCATACATTTACAGTCATCATCCACACAAAGAGCATGGTCTGCACACCTTCGTTTATTACACAAACCTATTCAAAAATTAGAAAACAAACATTGATTAATTGCTATACCTTTCGCTTTGTGAATGGCGATCCAGAACTAAGTGGAATATCATCGGGAGTATACAGTTCAAGAAAAGAATGTAAAACCATCGGGAAAACGCGTTTGAGTCAAATCTTTGAACAAACGTGTAATAGTAATAGCGACCGTGTTTCTAATAGTTATTCAGTGTCAATGCCTGAAAATTGGACTACATTCTATAACGTAAACATTCTTTTTTGAAAAAGTGAGATGTTCTCATCCTACATTGTAGATACGATATCACTGACCTGTATTTGGCACTAACATTGCTTATGGGGCTTACTTTGAGATACAAATCAAAAGTGATGAACCACCAAGAATGAAACGATTTCTTATGTAAAACTATATTACATGAAGATACAAATGATGGTTATAAAATTATATTTGCATTGTGTTCACATGATGTTCATGTTATTACTGTACCTAGAGCGCTGTATGGGTCATGCTGGTGAGAAAAGCTAGAGAACGTTAAGAGCATTTTAACTGAAAGGTGTTGCCGATAAGACATACGGGTTACTAAGACTGCTGTGACCATATGATGTCCTCGATAAGACAAACGGGTTACTAAGAGCCATGTGACCCCGTGACGTTGATGGGACAAACGGGTTAATATTAATCCGGTGACCACAGGACGTTGCCGGCAAAACATTTGTGTTACTAAGGGTCTTCTGGTCACATGACGTTGACGATATACGGCACTTGGGGCCTTACGTTTACACTTGTCGTAGCCGTCACCCACGTATCCCTGTCGACACACACAATTGTAGTTTATACAGTCTGCACTGTCACAGCATTTCTCCCCGCCACAGGTCCCGATTGCTGAAACACGAAAAAAAATATAAATCAAATACAGAAAAGAAATCATTTTCATGAATGATTAGTTTGCAATCACCAGATTTTGTTTTTACAAGCGCTTTTTAAATACACACTTACGATGTCAAATATAGTAATTTTAGTATATTACCTAGCGATGTATGTAACAGGTAAGTGCTGTTACTGTTGGCTGGAAACACCCAAACCGCTTTGCAACAGTCTCAAAATAACTGGTACAACTACAGACCTCCCTCGAACTAGACTACCGCAGATTACGACGCCTCGTCAGGATCGGTTCATGTGTTTTTATCACATGCACAACTGATTTAAAACAGCACAAAATCTGCCAGTGAGACACCAGCGACACACAATTCCAAACGGTTCTGATACGTCTCAGTTCCTTCAGAATAATGGCGTGTCGCATTTCGATAGGATTACCCCCTATTCGTCGTCGACATAACGTCATCATCCAATGACTTTGACGCCACTATTCAAATGTTTCCTACCCAAAGATGGTGCCATGCACTCTTATCTGACGACTCAAGATTCATACTTTACCACTCAGATTGGCTTCATTGTGTTTTTCGTCGTCGTGATGAACATTATGCCAATAATTGCACGGTGGAACATGACAGGTTTTTTGGTTGAAACTTTATGAGGTAGGGTGGGATAAGAAGAAGTCCCAAAACCTGTTTGATTGTCATTGAAGGTAATTTGACAACTCAACCGGACATTGAAACTGTATTGCAACTTATCGCAGTGCCGTTTGTATCAGAACAACGTAATTTTTCTAACATGAAAATGTCCGGTGTCATGTGGTAGAGACACTTCCCTGACCCAATACAGTCCCGATCTCACGCCAATAGAGCACGTGTGTGACAGGTGCTTCTTTAAGAATGGCAGAAAATCCCTACAGCACACATCTCAGAATTCGAGCAGCAAAATATGGTAGCGGGAGTCGTACTTGTTATTAATGTTGGAAACTTCATATGTCATTAAATTATCCTATATAAAATATTGGTACCTTTTCGATAACAGCTTATATATAATTAATGTAAATACATGTTAACAACTTTGTATTCGCGTCAACGCCTCAACCCTATGTAATATATGTTTTTCTTTTCATATTTTCTTACTTCATATTGTCATTTCTGTATTAAGCAGTTGTAATCTCAATGTCGTTGTGTTAATTATAATTAACACTGGATATAGACTAGTATAAACGTGCGTGGTGATGACATGTCAACAACCCGGCGGTCGAGACCTTACTTGGAAAGGTATATGGAATTTACCTAGTATGCTTCACACAATACACACACGTACTACAGAAATAGAATTCCTACCACATTTAACAAGCAGAATAATGAAGGATACAACTTTGTGTACATCCCTTTCTGATTGATCTGACTGACCCGACTTCTGTCATCTTTAATCATTAGGATACTGTACCTCTTTGTGGGTTTTTTTCAACTACGTTTCTGCCTATCTCACAGGGGTTTTGTTTTATATATATATAAAGATATATAGTGAGGTTTCGAGTCATGTAAAATGGACGTATCATTTCTATATTCATTGAATTCAGAAAATTCTCAATTAATTTTCCTCTGCGTGCGTCATGAAATATATAAGGGTTAGTCACGGAATGATCCCATACGGCTCCCTGTATATGTTTACCACTGACGTCCACGGCGTGTGTTATACGAGGACAAAGCTCTGTCGCGCCAGTCAGATAATAGGAAACAAAAATCATTACTTTTCGTCCCGTTAATACAATTTCTTTTATCTACAAGGAAATCGGTTAAGAAAATTGAGTATAGTGTTTGAAATCGAATAGAATTATTGTTTCCGTGATGCGTTCTATTTCTACATCACGAAAGCTGAAAGTTGACCTTATACTTAGAGTTGTGGCTATTTCCCAGTATGATTTCGAATAACAATCTATCCCGCTCACCGTGTTAGGTTGCGAAAAATTGATCCAAGTACCAAGAAAAAATTATGCGTGGTTTCCGCATGTTGTGTGTTGGAGATCAGCATGATACAGTGTAAGAAGATACGGGTAACTATAGGCTTTGCGATTACTTGCCACAGGAGGTGTAATGCTATATTATAGGGATTACTTATTGGCATAGGAGGTGTAATGCTATATTATAGGGATTACTTATTGACATAGGAGGTGTAATGCTATATTATAGGGATTACTTATTGCCACAGGAGATGAAATGCTATATTATAGGGATTACTTATTGACATAGGAGGTGTAATGCTATATTATAGGGATTACTTATTGGCACAGGAGGTGTAACGCTATATTATAGGGATTACTTATTGGCATAGGAGGTGTAATGCTATATTATAGGGATTACATGCCACAGGAGGTGTAATGCTATATTATAGGGATTACTTGCCACAGGAGGTGTAATGCTATATTATAGGGATTACTTATTGGCACAGGAGGTGTAATGCTATATTATAGGGATTACTTATTGCCACAGGAGGTGTAATGCTATATTATAGGGATTACTTATTGCCACAGGAGGTGTAACGCTATATTATAGGGATTACTTATTGGCACACGAGGTGTCATGCTATATTATAGGGATTACTTATTGCCACAGGAGGTGTAATGCTATATTATAGGGATTACTTATTGCCACAGGAGGTGTAACGCTATATTATAGGGATTACTTATCGGCACACGAGGTGTAATGCTATATTATAGGGATTACTTATTGGCACACGAGGTGTAATGCTGTTGTACGATATTTGCAAAAAATAGTAAACATTACAGACATTAGTAAACATATAAGTTACAATAAACATAAAACGTTCTTAATGCGTGTCTATACAAACCGCGGCATCAATAAGAAATCTTCATATTTTAATTAGTTTGTTTATACTTGAAGAAGCATACCTAATACGTCATTACATCTTAAACAAGATATTACTTTGAATTGCGTTTAATCGAATATGCTTGGTAATCTGACTCGAGCAAATCATGACATTTTATGCAGATACAAACGTTCACAATTGACGTAGGGATTTCCATGGTAACCGTCTCCGCAGCGACACCGCATTTCCAGGCAATGAGCGTGCAAACCACATTTGGTCCCATTACACAGAGCTACAAATATGAAAACATTCGATTAGTTTTTTTTTATTTCTCCATTTTATTTCAAATGAAATGAAAGTTTATAAATATCTGTATATCAGGTTTTTAAAATGATAGTACTTTGCACGAAACATTGACTTTAAGTCAAACAAGTCAAACAAGTCAAACAGTTGACTATTTCATAATTTTATGACGAGCCACTAACGTTCACATGTTGTTTCTCCGTCCCCAAAGTATCCGTCAAGACATGCGCAGTGGGGACGTCCAGACAGCAGCCCGCACGCAGCATGCTCGTGGCAGTGTAATGTGATGGTTTTCGTTTCCAGAGTTGGTTTTCCGCCAATTTCTACACACGTCAGCATCGCCTGACAATCCAGTGTCAATGACGATTTCCCAAGCTGGAAATACGAAAAAAAAAAAATCCGAAGTTATCAAGCGTACAGGCCATATAACTTATATAGTCGACTAGTAAAGTACATAAAATATATTATATTACCATAACAGTGCATGGTTTTACAGTATCAATTTTATTTATTTTTTATCTATTATTTTTTCATCATATTTATCATTTATTGAAAAGAATAATATTAATAACTTTATGAATCTGGTAATCAAATCACCTCCTATTGCATTTACCTTGTCTGGTAATAACGGGGTGAGACACCTACATGGCGGAGAAGTTGTTTTTGCAGAAAATGCATGTTAAGTTTATAGGTTTTGACCCCTGTTAATCAAATAACTACCTTTAAGACGCCGAAAGGAGGATATTTTTTTACTATATTCAAATTTTGTCTCCATTCTCAAATGCCCCCTCCATTTAATATTTCAGAATGGAATAGCAAGAGGTCCGTCAGTTTTCGTTAGTCAATGATATACAGTGCCCAACTTAAAACATCTACATCAGTTTGAAGTGGTTCTGAGTTCCCTTTAAGGAATTGGCCACAAAAAAGCATCAGAGTCGATGTAGCATTCTAAGACGAAGACTACACTGTAGCATGTCTATAAATGTTGTATTTAGAACAACGGTACAGTGTATACTAACTCCACTAAAGGGCCTGTCACACCGAGCCAGTTTGGGTAGCCGACCTATACTAGAGCACAAACTTGGCGATTTTCGGGAATCGGTACTAGTACGGCAGCGCAACGGTATCACATCGCTAAGAACGGTAGTACATCGTCAGGACAGCGCCAGAACATCGGCGAAAAAATTAGCAACGGCAGGCGAAGGTAAAAAAATTTGAACATGCTCAAAAATATCCGCCGTTGCGCTTCCGGAGCGAGCAAAGATGTTTCGACACTCGGCAAGAATATAGCACAAACACAGTCAACAGTTTGAGATAAACATGAATGATGAAGAATTGTTTTTACCGTAGCTGGATTGCTCATATGATATATTTATTAAAGAATTGCGTGGCGCCAGTGAAGCATCTTCTAAATGTTATCTATACAAGCATCTAATCGATACCTTCACAATTAAATCTTATTTAACAAACCCCGTCACCCCAATATCCAACACTTTGTGGAGTTAATGCATATAGACGCATACTCTGAACACTAAATCCGGATAAAACAATTAATTTTGAAGAGGTGGTCAGAGATTATAGAATATTTGTAACAGAAATGGTGTTTAAGGTGAAACAAGATTTTTTACAACTTTTGTCGATCATATTTTGAACTTAGAAAAATGCACGCATAAAACAATATCATTAGTACTGACATCCTAAAATCTGTTAGTTAAACAAAATATCTAATGCAAACATTTCGAAACTTGTAGATCTGGTAAATATTTCGTTTCTGCTACAGCAAAAGGGAAAGTCCTCGCTGTACAGCGGTATTGGCGAGGTTGGTGTTTAATACTTTTTCACTGAATGTCCTCTACCATCATGAGCTTTGCATTACGAGTGCTCTATTATGATTACATGTAACCTATATGCAGTATTCCATTTGAAAAGAAACCCCTCCAATGAGAGTCGTAATAGAGATGAGCAACTTACGGGGAGGTAACCTATGTCGGACCTACAGCCACAGTCCGTCAGCGGCACACAGGCAAGGCCACTGAGCAGGTAACCTGGCTGGCATTCACATCCAGCCGACAGGGGCTGAGAACATGTGGTGTGAGCACGGTGAGGGTCAAGGCAGGTAGCTGGACATCCACTTATCTCAGTACTGTACCGCATGTTCTTCGGACAGTTAGCGGCTACAATAGAGGGGCTGGTCAGCAAAAGACAACTTCATTCTTTTTCAAATACTTATTTCGCTAGATATATAGTACTGTATTTCCCTTTATAAACGTTTGTTTAATCAGGTGAAGACAGTCTATTAAGGAATTGAATAAAAAAAAATCAAACAGTTGAAAGTAGTGGTATGTCAGAACATGGTCCAAAGAGATGATATGTTAGATACTGGTAAACCGTTTCATGATCGTATGACATCAATCACCAATGTGATGATAAAAATGAGACTATTTTTATTGCAATATCTTCTTACACAAGAAAATGAGCTTTGCATGGCAATGTATGACAGTATTAGTAAAAAAAAACGCACTGTTCTCCATGCATCTATATTGAATGATTTATTATTGTTGTAAAACTCACGACAAAATGTCTCCGTCCTCCACTTAACGACATATCCCCTCTCCTCACACTCTGTTGCCAAGCTGTCCAGGGCCTGGCACACAACCTCATTTACGCGATGTTCGTCATGGAAATATGTGCACACGTCAAAGCGGCATGACGCGTACATGTCGAGGATGACTTGAGGGATTGTGCTGATACACTCCCGGAAGGGGCTAGATGCCTGGCGTGGCGGAAACAGCAACCCGCAGTAAATGGGTTCCTGGACTAAGAGGTCCATGTCCCCGGTACACGGATCTTCAATCTCCTCCACCGTACACCTAAGCAAGGAACGAGACGTCAGCTAAGGGCACTTTTCAGACTGTGGTCAATATTATACGACACATACGAAAGATATGAAAGATTTTGTGCGTGTCAAACTGTTGTTTCAGAACTCGCGAGACATTTTTGAAAGTTCTCGTGGTTTGCTTAAAACAAAGTAATATATATATGACGTAATGCTTTTAAAAAACTATGCAAATGCATTTTTAGAATTAGCATAAATTTAATAACCGAACTTTGACAATTCCAATGAGTATACCTTGTCTTTTTTGCTGTATTCTGCATATCTTTCGAATACTGTTTTCCATTCTACTGCCTTTCATTATCACTGATGAATCTCCGAAATGAACGTAACGGTCATATGGGACAGTCAAATTTATATTACTTTGTGGCTTCTGCATTGACAGACTTCCTCACTTTCTAGTAATTATTTGTTGTAACAAGATGGTCGACTCTGTTAGTGGACTATATATAAATTCTGGCAAATATTATATGAAATAGTTTAGGAATAGAATATATGTTGTAAATTTGTTACGGCAAAAAAGGTTTTATAGACACAGTTCTCTATTTCGCTGGATTCTGCTTGCGTTTTGGAACAAAGATTTTCATTCCTTTGACCACAAATTAATTATAAATTAATGTCCTAAAAGTGGATCTTTATCGACAAACTAATATCTCTACATTAGTGCTCCCTTACCATTTGTCCGTAGTAAACGTCATAACCTTATACAGATCCCAACAATCTAATAATAAAAAAATAAAAAAATAGCTATGTTGAATGTATTTTGCTGGTTGAACGGGATTTATAACTAATGTTAACATATTCTTTTGGACAAGGGAGGAGAACACCTACTCCTCGGCTGCAGCCTCAGACGGGTCTTTGACAAGGTAGCTCTCTCCTATCTTACTGCCTTTGGTCCTAATACCGGACACGTCCGTCCCATTCTTCAATCTCATGTCGTCCCGCTTTCCATTACAGTTTCCGCAGAGGCCGCTTAGATCATTTCCGTATCTCTTCGGAACTGTCACGAAAACCTCCGATCTACCATTCCAGGAAAGTGACAAGCCACATCCGGTTACCAGTCTGGCGTACTGCCCAGTATTGTATATGGCGATTTCAGCATGCGTGTCTGACGTCACGCTAACAGGAAAGAATTGTGCGACGCCATTTATCTGTGATGGAAATAAAGATATATCACTTTTTCACATTATCGTAACAATCTTTTGTGATCCTTAATAAAATTCGATCCGTCCCAATACGACTATGCTTAAAGTGCATTGTGTTACAATGCATTATCACGGGTGACGTGTTACTATCAGCCTACGTTATATATAGAGGGTACTTCAGTACAGGAGCACGGACGGGCTTACACATAGATTCATCACATTTCTTACAGTAGTACGTGAATGAAGCATTAGAAACACTTTCTGACAACCTTGATGATTACAAAATGACTACTGAAAAGAAACGTTGCTGATTATAAGGTTGCCGTTAATGTTTCCGTGATGTTTTTATTATCGAGCTTTCAAATATATTTTTATTGCGCTTTGGTGTTGAAATCGAATGTTAATCACACCTCAAGCCCTCAAACAAAATGGTACATAATCACCGAGTCCGATTACATACCGAAACGTGTTCTTTAACTTTGATTATGTGTCCCATCAATCAAAACCTCTGGCTCATTCCACTGCGTTCGAGCTTTAGAAAGTCAAACCTTTTCGATGTTTAGCATAGATTCCTCGAAAATATTTGGTAGCTTTGATGTTTCAGCATTGAGCTCCCGATTTTGTTTCTTTGATGTATTTTGATGTTTAGTTTGTTCGAATGATTACAATAGGCGAATTAAGTAGGACGATTTCCAATTTCTAATTGTTATACTTTACTTTCCTTGATAGTAACATCCCAACATCTCCAACCTTCGGCGTTTACATGACGGAGTTGATTCGTAATATCGTGAGCTAATTATGGTTACTGGAAAGGCAGAGAAATACGCTTGCATGTCCAGGGGTGTATCATAGGTACATTTCTCTCTCAGGATTTTCAAATTGGTGCAAAATCCTCCAAGCCTTGCGTTTCCAAGTTAAACAACCGATAGATTGAAACTGTCCTATACTACACCGCTGGACATAAAAGAGACTCGTGTTTGGCAATTCAGTTATCTTCTCCCTGGGGATGAGCCCTGCATATCATCCACATGGATTATAGATACTTGTAATAACAATTCCACATCCACGAACCAAGTGACCAATTTTTTGGAAATAAAATTTTCTCAATCGTAACTAAGAGGTGCACGATACATATGAACAAAACGACTACGTTAAAAAAATCGGTATCTTTTCATAAGAATCTCTGTTTCTGCTCTTTACAAACATGTTCTTTAGCAATTTGTTATGTAGCTGCGGGAACCGTAGCTTCTATGTCCGATTTTTTTTTTATCGGTCCGATAACAATAATAATAAAAAAAAAAATCGGACATAGAAGCTACGGTTCCCGCAGCTATTTGTTATGTTGACGTTATCTAGACAATGGAATTAAATTGTTGTTTCCGGTAAGGTAGAAGTAAATAGAGAAAAAGTTCGGTATGGGAAAATGTAGATATAAAATGTACCCTCTGGTTTAGAACTCCCATATTCGTAAACCGAAGAAGTATTGCCTCTATAGCTTTATACCAAGTACTCAAATCTCATCGAATTATTGTCCTAACACTTCAATGATAAAATAAGCCCTTCTCGTCGGAAGTGCAAGACAATGTCAGACACGTTATGTTACATAATGAGTGACTATGACCTGAAGCAACTCGACATAACAACACGGTCAGCCGTCATGACTTCTGTATTACAGAAATTTTGATGCAGATAGAAAACTGTTATTGCTGTCACATGCATGTTATCACCTGTAAACAGTTCGTTTGAAAATTCATTAAAATCGCTAATATGACTTTTTATCGTTTGTTCGGTGAAAAGAAACATAACTGAAATATGACACTTTACGTTACTGAACGCCACACAAAACCATTATTACTTACAAGCACTTCCTTGTCCTTGTTGAGATCTATAACCAAGCCTTTCATCATCACGTGGACGGAGCGCGTGTAGGCCGCGTGCACTCGGTTACCCCTGTGCTCGTTCTTCAGCTCGATGTTGAAGGCACATTTGTCGCCCTCAGTTCCGTATTTTGTAAGTGTGTAGCGACAGGGTCCACTGATGGTAAGCTTCTGTTTGTCGTATAACCGGAAGTGAGGATCTCCATAGGCAGCGCAGGTGCACACATCTTAAATGAACACGTTCAGTCGACCATGAAGTTGCGATTACAAACAAACAGTGCAGTTATCTTGTACCAATTTACATCGAAATATGATCACAATTGTTTTATGGGACAATTGCACCAAAACAGGCAACCAGGGAATTTCATATCGGTATCAACTGTACTAAGAAAGTGGCCTCGTTTCTACGATCGTTTTATATTTTATTTCACTAGGTAAAAAGAAACACCTATCACAAATGAAATAAACGTGTGAAAACATGATATATATTTAATATTTTAATTTTCGTTGTCACTTTTGAATTATTGTCATTAAGAATAATGTATGCATTGTTGCATTTGTAAACATTCTGTAAATTGAATTACGTATAGACAAAGACGTAAGCATGTATGCTAAGTGGGGGCGATTAACTCTGTCAGGTGCTGCCAACAGGCCAGTGTCTCGCGTCTCATCTGTATGCTGACGGTAACACTAAATGAAACGGACTTGCACAGGAAATAACATTTGTCTGTGAAGGTTTGCGATTAATTTCCTCTTCGCACACAACTTCCGCAATAAGGTGACGCTGTGTTCTAGGCTAGATAGGGATGTGAACAGGAATAGCTATCTCCTCGTCCAACTCACGATTATTGTCGTTATAAAGACATTGACAGAAGATCACTGTCTCCACGTCCTACTCACGTATAGACTTGATTGAGACAGATTTGAAAACCTTCTCTTTTTTCCTCGCATGTGTAGCCTAAACATTGACGAAGGTTAACGGTTTCCTTGTCCCACCCACGTGCACATAGATAGATACATAGACGGAGGATAACTGTCTCGTTTCTCGCTCACATATAGACTACATATAGAGACATAGACAGAGGATAACTGTCTCGTTTCTCGCTCACATATAGACTACATATAGAGACATAGACAGAGGATAACTGTCTCGTGTCTCGCTCACATATAGACTACATATAGAGACATAGACAGAGGATAACTGTCTCGTTTCTCGCTCACATATAGACTACATATAGAGACATAGACAGAGGATAACTGTCTCGTGTCTCGCTCACATATAGACTACATATAGAGACATAGACAGAGGATAACTGTCTCGTGTCTCGCTCACATATAGACTACATATAGAGACATAGACAGAGGATAACTGTCTCGTGTCTCGCTCACATATAGACTACATATAGAGACATAGACAGAGGATAACTGTCTCGTGTCTCGCTCACATATAGACTACATATAGAGACATAGACAGAGGATAACTGTCTCGTGTCTCGCTCACATATAGACTACATATAGAGACATAGACAGAGGATAACTGTCTCGTGTCTCGCTCACATATAGACTACATATAGAGACATAGACAGAGGATAACTGTCTCGTGTCTCGCTCACATATAGACTACATATAGAGACATAGACAGAGGATAACTGTCTCGTGTCTCGCTCACATATAGACTACATATAGAGACATAGACAGAGGATAACTGTCTCGTGTCTCGCTCACATATAGACTACATATAGAGACATAGACAGAGGATAACTGTCTCGTGTCTCGCTCACATATAGACTACATATAGAGACATAGACAGAGGATAACTGTCTCGTGTCTCGCTCACATATAGACTACATATAGAGACATAGACAGAGGATAACTGTCTCGTGTCTCGCTCACATATAGACTACATATAGAGACATAGACAGAGGATAACTGTCTCGTGTCTCGCTCACATATAGACTACATATAGAGACATAGACAGAGGATAACTGTCTCGTGTCTCGCTCACATATAGACTACATATAGAGACATAGACAGAGGATAACTGTCTCGTGTCTCGCTCACATATAGACTACATATAGAGACATAGACAGAGGATAACTGTCTCGTGTCTCGCTCACATATAGACTACATATAGAGACATAGACAGAGGATAACTGTCTCGTGTCTCGCTCACATATAGACTACATATAGAGACATAGACAGAGGATAACTGTCTCGTGTCTCGCTCACATTAAGACTACATATAGAGACATAGACAGAGGATAACTGTCTCGTGTCTCGCTCACATATAGACTACACATAGAGACATAGACAGAGGAAAACTGTCTCGTTTCTCGCTCACATATAGACTACATATAGAGACAGGGACATAGAATAACTGTCTCGTGTCTCGCTCACATATAGACTACGTATAGAGACATAGACAGAGGATAACTGTCTGGTGTCTCGCTCACATGTAGACTACACATAAAGACATAGACAGAGGATAACTGTCTCGTTTCTCGCTCACACATAGATTACACATAGAGACATAGACAGAGGATAAGTGTCTCGTGTCTCGCTCACATATAGACTACATATAGAGACATAGACAGTGGATAACTGTCTCGTGTCTCGCTCACATATAAACTACATATAGAGACATTAACAAAATGTAGCCATTTCCTAGTCTACTCACGTCACCATTGTCACGAATAATACGCATAATGATTTTCTTACTTTGGAAAGCTGGATCAAATAATGACACTCAGTGCGCGATAGACAGCGTTTACTGTCTATGATAAGGAGAGTACACGGACTATTTTCACCTCATGTGAGACGACGGGACGACGGGACGACAACTTACCATCACACTTGACGTAGGGGTTACCATAGAAACCCCTCCCACAGTGACACTTGCCCTCCACACACACGGCGTTTGTTCCACACCCTTTGTCACAGTTCAGACCTACAGGAAATACGGAAATAGCCATTATTGAAAAAGTGATAAAATACTTAAATCTATGCAAAGAAAATAAGTTCATTGGAGTCCTAAAACGTCAAGAACAGTTAGTGAGATGTGAGTAGGTGTACGGTAGAGGTACCATGGGTAAGTGTTTGAGTATAAGTATAAATGGACGGACATGGGTGTAAATAAGAATGAACTTCCACCATTAAAAGGCTTTCAGGACATCAGTGACTGATTGTCAAACTGGCAATCGACATTCAACGCATTTCAGATGATAACACTTACGTAATGTCGAATGTATTGTCAAGCAAATGTGTCTCCCGACAATCGACATTCAACGCATTTCAGATGATAACACTTACGTAATGTCGAATGTATTGTCAAACAAATGTGTCTCCCGACAATCGACATTCAACGCATTTCAGATGATAATACTTACGTAATGTCGAATTTATTGTCAAACAAAAACTATGTCTGAATATAATTTGGAATATATTTGTTCTAACATATATCTTATGGATGCCCGATCAAACGTTCTCTGTTTAACCTGTTGAAAAGAAGTGTGCCTGATAAATTCAACTAGTTCATCGGTGTCTAAGTGTGAAGTACTCACACTGCCTGTAACTATCTACATATTGCTGAGGAACTTACCAAAGATCGTATATCCACTTAGAATGTATGATTCTCAAGTCGATAAAACGTTACCAAAGTGACATCTAAATTGAACAGCATTGGTATTATAGCTATAGTACCGCTTCTTTTAATAAAACCTAACAAAACAAAACAAATGTTCTAGTTGTTTTTCTAGGTGACCAGAGCCCTTAATGGGTCCCAAGTTTTATTAATTTTCTCATATTCAATGTTATTGTCGATGGCAAATTATTTAAGATGTGTCAATAGCAACTCCTGCGTTCTCTTTAAGATAGACGAGGACGCCACTTCAAATCTGAGTTTCAACATTATTTGCAGATCCTCTGACTGATAGAGGCGTGCAGAGAAAGCATATTCATCAAGATGAATACCACAATTTGATACCAAAATAACCAATTGGACTGGATGTCTGCTATCAAAAAAGGACGAGAGTAAAATTGTTAAATGTGTTTTTATTATTTTGTCGTTACATCTTAACTTAAGGATGTTCAGGGTGCTCCTACCAACTTTAAACCTCAAAAACCTGTGATGAAAGTTTTTCAGTAGACTCTACCGAACATTCTATCTCCCCTGTCTGTTTCTGCATCTTTCCACCCTACCTCATTTTCCTCCATATCAGAAATGTTTACCATCATCTATCCTTGAAAGCTTTCATTGATATCAAAGCACTTTGATGCGACTGTAATGACATTGATCAACTAGCCACACGTATTAACAGGCATGATCTAATCTGATGTCGGCAATCCTACCAGACAAGTACGTATGCTAGTGCAAGAATGTCACGCGAGAAACAATAGCACGGTAGATGTCCTGGGTAGATAGGCCCCCGTGCTGCCGTTTATACCAGTAGTTTTAAATCTCACATTGTTGTTGTGATGTAAATTGTGAGTTTTAAAATCCAACAGCAATACGAGCAGCCAAACACAGCGCGCAACTTGTCTCGCAGAATTCAGCATATGTAAGGGTTTTGATGACGGCCTCAAATGTTGTACAAAGAAGCCGTGTTATTTTTTCGAAAATCGATGCGACACTGCCACACATTGATGCGTATCAAGTTGTTCCCATGCATTAAAATGCGTAACATTGTATGTTCTTGATATATCACTCCAAAGTCCAACACGACGGTCTTCAAATGTGTCGTAAATGTTGAAGATATTTCAAAATAGGAGAGGAGATACTAGTGACAGTGTTTAGTGTATACTGTGACTGTACCGAGTTACGATCTCATTTGACAATATGATATTTCTTCGTGTGATATGAATGTTTTTAATCATTTGCATTTGTTTGCCTTGTTGCCTCGTTGTCACTTCCCCGGCTCTCTCATGACATAACCTAGATTTACATAGCATGAGTAGCATTCCCTTCCAGAACACCAAGTATCCTTCTCTCTGTATTTTCCAATGGTCTCCATGTTAATCTTCTCTTTGTTTATATTGTGGCCTAGTTTTATCGGTTTTGATTTTAAATTAGAGTTTTGTTGACGACAATTCAGTACTATCTGTTTTGGTTTGTTTGGGTCTGTTTGTCGTTTGTGCTGATATTGCCTTTGGGTTGTGTAAACAGGTACCTCTCTGTGATGCATTAGCATACGTACCAGATGGACACATAAGTGACATGCGCGGTGATTTGGAAAGGTGTCATATGGAATATATGACGGATATACGTGTAGTATTTGATATACAATGTTAAAACACGCTATGTTCATGACTATTCCTTGAAGGCCAATCACTCGAGACGTTACCAGTCTTGACCAGTAAGCTTTACAAACGCCTAGTCATTGTGCAGGTAAAGTGTGATATTACAAGGTTACCAAATACAACATCATACAAGTGTAATTGTTAAAAACATAACGCTATGAATTGTTTCAGACATGTTTATAAGTATTATATACATGTGTGCTAGTCGGCGACAGAAAGTGCATGGACGATATTACAAATTGTAATATCGGCCATGCTCTTTTGTAATTTACAATGTATCAGTTTAAGTTAAGTTAACAATGCCCCGTGATCAGCTAATTAGAAACCAGTCAAATTGTTGTAATGTGATAAAATCCAATGCCGCTCTGATTAGGTGTTACCTTACTGACGCTATATAAGTACAAGTTGATTCATCGTCGTAATTATATCATTGATTATTGAGCCAGATCGTTAGCTAAGTAAATGAAAACTGGTCACAATAATAAATTGATTGTAAGAAACAGTGTGTGTTAACGGGGCTACCCTCGGTCGTTATCATCATTAATTGACAAAGACTGGTGACTCCGGGTTCTGTGACACGCGTAAGCATGAGCATTAAAAATGAGGATACATGCTTGAACCAAACGCAGGTATACATCTTTGTATTACCATTGCTTTTGATGAAATATATAGAGAATAATACATGTCTTTTTCCATATCACACCCAGTATCAACCCAAGACTGCAATATCAGCCCAAGGGCTGATATTGGTCGAGGGTTGATACTGGGTGTGATATGGAAAAAGGCGTGTTTTATTCTGTTTATTACTTACTTACTAATAAAAACTACTATCTTATGATTTATTTTTATTTTTGGAATATTGAAAAACGAAAAAAAATCCAAAAGGGGTATGATATGGGTCTTGCGGCCTGCTACGGGTTTTGGGGTGTGATACGGCGGGGGCTGATACGGGTTTTTGGGTGTGATACGGCGAGGGCTGATATGGGTTAGAGCAATTGTGTCGTAGCGCATATACAAAAAAACCGTATTTATTAGTAAGTATGTAATAAATGCATGTATATAATTTGAACCAACTACAATATATTTATTGAAACTACCTTTCAAAGTGACATAATAAGACATCAGATCCAAGTTACTTTAATTAAGATTTTCAATAGGAAAGAATTACTGAAGTTTATATTGTGTGGAAATATCCGGAGGTCGAACATCGGTTCATAGACACGACCCCGTAGCTTAAGGACTCCCAGTTCGTCGCTTTTTGACATCTATGAACCGCCTACAAACTAAGCTAGACAAAGGTGTTTCTCCACAGCTTGAATGGTTAGATAGACGTATATTCAAAACAAAATGGGTTCTGGAAGCTGCAATAGAGCCCCGTGAGCGGTTAACAAATTGACACCATATATTGCTTCTCCATCATTATCCCCACATGATTGTCTTTATCTAAATATGGATTAATAGTTTTGCTGTAAGCAATGTTACACCTTTTATTATGTCAGCGGCTATATTTGCCCAAACACAAAAGTGTCATCAAGATAGTGAGAAAGGGCATCTCTGTTGATAAAAACATGCGTTGACAATGGGATGGTTTCAAGTTTGAACGCTGACAGTCCCAAGAAAAAGGGATGGTAACCATCCTGCTTGGTTCACGCGACAAGATCGGAAATGTTTTCTTGAAATGATGTTTATTGTATGGACCGACGACACCAGTCTTGTCCGGCTTCTGCATTTTTAAGTATATTGAAGACCAGTTGTCTAGATTAAATGTGGAGCTGTCTTAGTTCTAAGCCAGAAAGAAGGCATGCTACCATTGATTGGTTTTCGCATACGCATGATGAACTGGATTGCAGCAGGTGGTATCGGGCTATTTCAGATATCAGTGACTAACCACGTGGAGGTTGCTACGTGGAGGCATTGAGATGAGTTAACTTGATGTTACTCAACCCTTTACATGGACGCTCTTTGGAGTTATTTGCTTTGTTTCTGTAAAACTTCATGGTATCTGAATCAAGGCACACTTGAACTGAAAAACGAACAAATGTTTCTGGCGTTTTTTGTACGTCTTGCAATCACTGACCTTGCTTGATTTCTCGAAAGTCAATGGTTGTTATTTACGGGCACGAAGCTTCTTTTTCTTTAGCAAATTGACCAGAATATGATGTGTACTGCCTTCCGAAATGCCAACCATAGGATTTATCTCAGCAACAGTATAACGACTATCATCCTTAATAATTTCTTTAAAAGCAGCAATATTTTCTTTGATACTGTAACAACTGGCCAGTTTGGTCGTGTATCCTCTTAAATGTCAACATTAATATTACCACCCTTGAATGTGTTCGCCCACCTGAAAACAGATCGCAATGTGACGGCAGAGGTCCTTTCATGCTGCATAACACTGTGTGTATCTGTGTTGGCGTTGTCTGTACGGCACACCGTGCTTTTATATAGGAACGTATTTCAGATTTAGTCTCAAACTTCGTTTTATCATTGAAAATGGGCAACTTATCACGAGTGCATACTATTCAACAAAGAATAACTTGATTTATTCCTGTCGGATGATGTCGACATTTGACACGTACATCGTTCTTTAAATGTTTTATTCATACTTCAAAAGCGTTATTGCCCGTTTGCACGTGAGCTGTGTTGTGACAGAATGTATCGAATGGCCTTCGCAAGC